TCTTAAAACTCATCCACACTTTGACGTGTTCATACTTTGGTTGCGACACATGAGAACCAACAACGTGGTGTCGTTGACATCAAACCTGGCATAGTGCCTGTTTTTTCGACACCTGGCAGCGAGAAGTGTGAATAATGACTGAAATTGCTGTCATAAATCTCTTGTATGACCTCACAAGACTGGCATGATTAGTTAGTGAAATGTTTTGTCCTCTTTGGAGATATTTACTATATTTACCCAGTTACTTTTGTTGTATAGAAAAGTGTAGCATGGACAGGAAAGGAAGTCATACAGGTTTGGAAGACATGAGAGGCCAGGTTAACTGTGTTGATATTCACAACAGTTATTGAAGTTGTGTTAAAGGTCTTTCCTATATTCAGCAACTCTGACTTTGTCATGTCTTAAGGCAGGGGTGCCCAACCCTGCTCCTGGGGATCGACTGTCCTGCAAAGTTTAGCTCCAACTCTAATCAAAGACACCTGCCTTTAATTTTTAAGTGATCCTGAAGACCCTAATTAGTTGCTTCAGGTGTGTTTCATTAGGGTTGGAGCTGAACTTTGCAGGACAGTCGATCGCCAGGAGCAGGGTTGGGCACCCCTGTCTTAAGGGATACGTTTGATTTCAGTTGTTAATGGCTTTATAAATGCAATTCCTACATCTACCGGACAGCTTTTCTCTGTGCTTAATGGAGCTGGCATATGGACCATAAAGCTGTTGGATGAGTTATTTTCTTCGATCAGTCTCTCTCAGGATGCACTGGGAAAGTTAATGATGGAAACAAGCACGCTCAAGCACATCCCCAAAGTCTCATGTCCAAGTTTAGGCTATAAAGTCATTGTTTGCTTATCAAATTCTAACTGGACTCTTACCCAAGTCAATCGGCGAAGTCTTTACTGGTGAACAGAGCATGTTTGGGTGCTTGATTTCCTTGCCCTGCACTTAACACTAGGCTACGTATTGCTTTCATCTGTGAGTAACATGACCTGCCGGGAAGGAGCAGCCAATGGAGAGAGTAAATGTGTATGTGTGTGAGAGAGAGAGAGCAAGAGAGAGAGGGAGGGGAGTACGAGTGGCCAAACAGTGTGTGTGTGTGTGTGTGTGTGTGTGTGTGAACGAGTGAGAAATGCAGCGAGTCAGGTTTGTGGTTGTAGAGAGCTGGAATCTGCAGTCAGGCTGAGTTTAAATGTGGCTAAGCGCCTCTCGCCGCTGCGGCGTGAAGCAGGGAGTCAGCGAGCCAACTGCTGCTACGGCCACAACCATGAAACACTCCCCCTCACAGAGGATGGACTACAGGCTGCTCAGTAAGTCACGCTTCAACTTTACCATACACACAGCTACAGGCAGTGCTGTCACTTGTGGAGTTATTTTCAATATTGTATCAATGGTGCTGTTCTGGTGGCTAGAGCTTGGTGTCAAGGACTGATGTGTTGTGCTTTGTTTTTTTGCTGTGTAGAGAGTAAATCATGTACTTTGGCAGCCCAAGGTTTTTGGTGTATGAGACTGGAAAAACACCAAAAACAACCCTAGAATCACTGTGAAGTTGATTTTTAGTCATTTATGTCAGGTATGTAATAATCAACAGGGAATATGACTTAATGTTTGATTCAGGTTGCATACTTTGTTTGTGTTGAGAGCTGGCAGCTGTAGTCAAAAAGTCATATGGGTTTGGAACGACAACAAGAATTAGTGATTGTCCCTTTAAAGGATATACATATTCAGTGTTTATATAGACAGTAGTTGTATGAAGAAAAAAAGGTCTGTGTAAATACTGTAGAAGATGGAAGAATAAGTAAGTTGTTACACAAAATGAAACATGCTGCTCAAGGTTATTCTGAATGAATTTTTTTCTTGCATCTTCATTTCAAATATTTTTCTGGAGGTTGTAGAGGAGTCTGAGGGCATTTACCTTCATAACTCACTGAATACGGCAAATCTATCTGCTAATGTTTGGTACATGACGCATTTACAGTATACTGTATGTTCGTGTTTTATTAATAATGCATAATTACTAAATCACCAAATTGGAAAGTTTACTGAGCATTTAAATGAGTGTCATCAATTTTTTTTGTGATTTTAAATAAATTGTGTTAGTTGCCCTCAGTCTTCCCTACATGCTCAAGACGTAATGATGTAATGTTTTTATGGTTTATATAAGGCTTCTGTCATCCTAGGTAGTTACAGGTTAGTTATTTTGTAGAAGCACTTTTCTATTAATGATTTTTTTTTCTCCATAGGAGAATGGGATACTAGGGATGTTGTTGTAAGTCTAACTCACTGGTCATAAATCAGACTATTTCTGTCCAAGACGAAGGCTCTTTTCTCCTAAAGCTTCTGATTGATTTTTAGACTGGCTAATGTGTTGTATCAGCGTCATGTCTAAATAAACAAATAAATCCTTAGATATCATCTTTTCCTGTTAATTGCATATTACACAGCGTGTTTACATATGCCTAGAAACATAAATGTGTACTAAGGCTGATTATGACAAAAATGGGATTGCACCTCCAAGCAATGCTTTAATCAGCACTTTTCACTGTTTATTGCAACAATTATTTTTTTCAATTTGTTGTGCTCCCCTCGCACCTCAGCTGCTCTGCTTGTCCCAATAGCAGGATCTCAGCCGTCGTTCACAAAACGTCTGCTTTAGACCTGCACCATGAGTGGCCCATGCATAAAGATCAGGACAGCTCATTCACAGCCTAATGCAGTGCATTCATTTCCCTCCATTTTGCTTTAAAAGATGCCATGTGCAAAGAGAAAAGGACACAAGGCAGATGCATGTGATGGCTAATGAAATGCAAATGGATATGAGGCTGTATATTGCAAAGATGATGTGCCTAAAACTCACCTCAGGAAAACTCAGTATTACTGGCCATTGGTTCAGTTTGAAGCAATACAAAGACGGCACAGCTCAGGTTTATTAAAATTTAAAGATTTGATTTTTTCTTATTATTTGAAGTATTTAGATTCCTTTGTAATTGCATTTCCGAGCTGAACTGCAAATAATTTGTTCATATGCAAGTGAGCTGCCTAGACTGCATAGTCCTATAGATATTTATATTGACTATTGATAAAATTGTACTGTATATATTTAATCTATTATTTGTGTGCTAAGCATTTTCCTTTTTATTGGGGTAGTGTGCCATTAGCTTAGCGACATGCTAACACCAAAACATAGAGCGTTTCAAAAACAAGGTTAGTGTGTCTAAGTCTTAGTGTGTACTAGAAGCACACTCTCATGTTCTATCAGAAGACTAGACTCTCACTCTGCACCTCCTGTTCCGGCGGTCACCATGGCGGCGCTTTGAGCCGAAGGAGTCTGCAAACACTGCTTTTGACAGCTGATGCTATCCAGACAAGCATGATTCACAGTATTTATATTATTTTTGCTTGACCTGCCCTTGAGCGCCATACCAGCATAACCGTTTTATGATCATAATCTCAGGCGAGAATGGAGTAAACAGTGGAGATATGTAAATATAACGAGACATAATGAAAAAATACTGTGCCCGGTGATGTTGAAGAAATGATCCATCAGTGTCACAGTATATGGGTTATTGGGAATATTTACAACTCTGGCCTGTATGGCGCCTTCCACTTTTACTAGACTGCACTGATGAGACCGAAGTGTCACACAGTGTACATTATCAAAGTTATTTGTTTTGTCTTTTGCGGTACTCTCTGCTTCTTTATAATTACCATGTAAATACTGTACTTTATTGTATTATGAGTGGTTTATCTATGTCTGTGTTTATCTTCCTCCTTTGCTCTGCACTGTACCCAATTACCACCAGCCCTGTCTTGCGGCAATAAAGAATATTGATTCATATGTTGACACGAAAATGGTTGGTTTAATTTATACATACCATTTTAGCGGCATGTAATAAATATCCTATATAATGGCTCTACTAGCTATATAGGCAACTGCCTTCTAAGGCCGCATAATAAATGCAGTGGACCCTCATAAGTAACCAGTGTCTAGAATTTGTGCATCATACAAATTTCGGTAGCACTTTATTTTACAGTTCTGTTCCACTTGTACATACTAGGAAAGGTATTTATTATAGTCATTACAATAACTGGATAATAACTAGGTAATATAATAACTGGGCAGCTCCCGACATGCCATCAAATGTGGAGGAGAATATAGAGACTTTGGAATGGATTATATATGCTCTGGTTATTTTTGCTATCAACCACTAACGTTAGGACTTGCAACCTCTCTTATGTTAAGATAAGAACATGGCAGAAAATAGGGTATATGGTGCTGATGAGACAGAAGTGTCACACAGTGTACATTATCAAAGTTATTTGTTTTGTCTTTTGCGGTACTCTCTGCTTCTTTATAATTACCATGTAAATACTGTACTTTATTGTATTATGAGTGGTTTATCTATGTCTGTGTTTATCTTCCTCCTTTGCTCTGCACTGTACCGAACCCAATTACCACCAGCCCTGTCTTGCGGCAATAAAGAATATTGATTCATATGTTGACACGAAAATGGTTGGTTTAATTTATACATACCATTTTAGCGGCATGTAATAAATATCCTATATAATGGCTCTACTAGCTATATAGGCAACTGCCTTCTAAGGCCGCATAATAAATGCAGTGGACCCTCATAAGTAACCAGTGTCTAGAATTTGTGCATCATACAAATTTCGGTAGCACTTTATTTTACAGTTCTGTTCCACTTGTACATACTAGGAAAGGTATTTATTATAGTCATTACAATAACTGGATAATAACTAGGTAATATAATAACTGGGCAGCTCCCGACATGCCATCAAATGTGGAGGAGAATATAGAGACTTTGGAATGGATTATATATGCTCTGGTTATTTTTGCTATCAACCACTAACGTTAGGACTTGCAACCTCTCTTATGTTAAGATAAGAACATGGCAGAAAATAGGGTATATGGTGGTCGGAGAGGGCCATTAGGTTACCTGTCCATAAAGATGTTATTCAGTAAACTCCACTGTTTTTGTCTCTCCCAGAACGGCAGCTGTGCAGCTCCATGGCCAACTCCAGCATCCTCCCGTCCACCGTGACGGGCATCAGTAAGGAACTAGCCGACCTGCGGCACCTCATCCAGTTCCCAGAGGAGATCGCCACCATCCTGACAGAACAGGAGCAGCAGCTGTACCGCCGCATCTTCCCCCTCGACTACCTCAGCTTCCTCACCCGAGACCTGGGAAGCCCAGAGTGCAACAAACGCCACCCGCACCTGAAAGCCTCCTTGTCCGCCCCCATCATGCCCACTCAGAATGACCACCACAACACAGTAGAAGACCTCGTCACAAGATTCAACGAGGTGAGCATTCATTAATAGTGCAGATTCATAACAAAGTGAATGTAAGAGGGTAGCTCTGGAAGAAAAATCGTGTTGGACACAGAAGGACTTTTGTCTTCGTTGCAGCAAAGGCTTGTCACAGGTGTCTGTTCTATTGCCTGTTTTACTTGGATCTTTTCTCATTCCCAGCAAGTACATACTTATCCAAACAGATGTGAGTTTATTGCAGTTGTCTTAAATATTTGATACGAAGAGTGCCAGGGGAAAATTGTGTTTTTCCTTTTGAATGGGCCTTAAAGAAAGTGAAATGATGTAATCTTTAAGGTGCATGCTTGCCTTTAGATCAGCTGGTTTTGATTTTAATAAAACTAAATGGGGATAAAATGCATATTTGCCATTGTTGGCTGAGCTCTTTAAGACTTAAAACATGAAAACTTCAAATATTGAATCATCAAAGCTGGTTATGTTTCACGTAAAAGCAAGAATCTAGACAGGTTATGACTGGGAATAACATGAAATAAAGATTTGCAGATGCTTACATCCCAGACAGTCAGTGCTAGTTATGTAAGACTCACAACTCAGAAAGATGACCTTCAAGTTGTGGAAATCAGTCTTATATCTTGTCAAGTAGCGTAATGCTCTAAGGAATCATCTTTCATCGTTGAATGCAGTTCCTTGAAAGTTCCTGCTTAACTTTCCATCGCCTAGTCGATTAGAAGAAACATTGAAGGTTTCCTGGTTGAAAGGAGCTTTCTAGATAATAGGCTTCGATGTGATGTAACACTATCATAGCATAAAGTGAATGGATCACATAACACCTCTCCCAGCGTTAATCCTAGTGTCCTTTGTGAACAAGTCACGGATTCCTCCTTTAGATGGATTTAGTTTGCTCTTTTACCCTTATGCTTCCTGTGGACTCATTCGTGCCCCAGCAATGTGTTGTGTTATTTTGGTTATGCTGTAACCCGCATAATACATCCCTGAAGTGTTGCCACTAGGGTTTGTGGTCTGTTGTCTTTGTTTGCGGTCAGTTGTTTGTGGTCTTATTCAGACAGTTGACCGGTGGTCGCCTTTGAAGCCCCTTCCAGGGTGCAGTGTCTCTTACGTAAGGTTTTAATGTGTCAAATCTGCGGTCCGTTCATTGCTGGCTGGCCGGTCTGTGCAGTAACTCAAGAGCAGCAGTCTGACCGGTGGAATCCTGGCAGAATGGCATGAGCTCCAGTGTACCGGTCTCCTCGTATTAAACGTCCCTGACCATCCGGGCCCTGGCAGAACTGTTTATGTAACTGACGGACTTTCTGTGAGGTGTTTTTAGCTACAACACGCCATCGCATAAATATTTGTGCTCAAACTGATTGCTGTTATGAGCGCTCAGGACTAGAGACGGTCGGATTCTGTGACATGGTGTTTAAAGAAAATGTGAGTGGTGATTGACCGTACAAAGGCTGGGGTATTCTGGGTGGTTGCCAGGGTGTTGCAATTGCAGTTATACACTGTTAAAAAAAAAACTTCTAATATGCCTGCTGAATTGCTTCCGGACTTTACAAAAAAACACAGAGTGATTCAACCAGAAAATAATAATTTTGTCACTCTGGTGATTATTAAATCACCCATGAAAGCTTTTACAGCCCACAAATCTACTCGTATTGTCTATAATTGTGGTTATTTTCTTTTGTGTGGAATCTCTGTGGTGAAGTGCTCTTTACTTTACACAGTTTGTCACCGACTACAACGGCCAGCAGCACTTCCTGCAGAGGGTTGGAAGCGATGGGCTCCACAGCTCAGACAAGGAGGCGACCGTCAGTAACATTCTGCAGACGATTCGCAGCTGCAACCGAAGCCTGGAGGCTGAGGAGCCTGAGGAGAAGGCACAAGAGATCACAGTTTGCCCCAAGAATTCCTTCAAAGACAAGAGCAGAAACCAGTGAGTTAATTTTGGACACTGTTTGCAAATATATGATGTTTAGTCTAATTCATATATGTTGAGGCATTCTCAGTTTGTTTTAATACCACTAATAGGCTCTCTGCATAGAGCTTCGGGTTATTTCTTTACACTTACCTGTGTTAACTAAGGAGATCTATGATACCTAGCATTCCCATGAATCTCAATGGGAGTTGCTGGACTGGTGGAGGAACCCCTAGATGTATGTGATTTGACATCTGCCATTGCTGCTCATGGACACATTTAAAGGTTTATTTGAGTCAACTACCTGAATTGTAAAGTGAAATCTTAAGAAAATTACATCATATCAACTCTATTTGACTGTTTGACGAGAACACACAAAATCCTAAGCCCAAAAGCATCGGACAGAAAAATAACTACTTTTCACTTCAACCCCCACTTTAGATTAACTAAATCTTATATGACAAAAAGTTTTACTTTTTGTTTTACTTTTTGTGATACTTTTATGATTCTTGATACAGTATGTTTTTTTTTTATTCTTTTTATGAAGGTTATGGCCAGGTTGCTGTGAAATTCTATTCATCATAAACAACTCACTCAGTGTATATGGTGTACTACTAATTTTCCTTTGCTGACAACCTTGAGATCATTTAAAAGAGAATGAAAGAATGACTGTAGCATGTGAGTGCTCAGAGTTTATTTTGAACCTTTAAACGTCTTAAGTTATAAAAAGATTTCCAAAGACCTTCCATTGGACTGAAATGTTTCTCAGTGGAACATGTTGTTGTCATGAGATGGTTTATACATGTTGATCTACGTACAGAGCAGCATTACAAACCCCATGTTTCCAACCTTCGGTTGTTAATACTGTGTCTCTGGAGAATCTCATCGCCTTTGTAGACTCCATCCCAAGCATTTTCATCTTTCAAGAGACTGAATCTTGAGCAGCTTGGCTTTGATGTACTTCTTAATTTATCTTAACTTCTCTCCCAGTAACTCTTCCAGTTCCAGGGCTGACTTTACACCACAAATGTATCAAATTTGAGCATACTGTGTTTGGGTACAGATTCACCCCACTTTCATTTCTTAAACCACTACTGTCTTTCTCTTCCATTCAATTGAACCCTCCACCCTTACTGTCCACTCTCAAGGATAGGACCTGGGTCAGAGCGTGTCTTGTAAGTTGCCAGATTGTGCTTTAATGGTTACACTAACTGCATTGGTTTCTAAGTGACATGCAGTGTTTCATTTGTATAGGTTTCGTGTGATTGCACTTAGAAATGCATGGATTTCCTTCCTCTCAATTCAAAGTGCAGAGTTGAAGCCAAGACCAGACTCTCCAAAGCCCAGACGAGTCCCCAATGTTTTGACACTGACCAGTATCAAAACCCTAATACCAAGACAAGACCCCTCAATAATCAGCAAAAGATCCACACCCAAACCAACACAAAATTCCCTAAAACCCAGACCAGTACGAGAATTCTGAGAACCAGACCAATATCACACCCCTATTACGCAGATCAAGTCCAGATCAAGACCTTATCCCAGAACCCATGCAAAAACTGTTGCTCCATGCACCAGACTGTCCATTTGAATTAAATGGAGATTATGCAGAATTTATTCCACAATTCATTTCAGACATTAAGTAGTTATTAAGAGCCATGGGATCCTCTATAATGGTGCAGATACAGTGCAAACCTGTGGTTGAGGTAATTATCACCCTCATTACTCTCTGGAAACAGACTGCAGTCTTGTCTGAGACCACAAACCTAGACCCATATCCAGACCAAGACACAGAGTAAATGAGATGCACAACCACATTTAAGCTCAAGGTGCCAACTCTGCCACAGTGCACGATTTAAAGTAATTTAATGCATAGCATTGTATTATGTTCCATAACGGCGCCTAAATTTGTGTCTTATAGGTAGACAGTGCTCTTCAATACTCTAAGCTCATGTCAACTTCTTTCGCAAGACTAATATGGTATTACCTTTTCCAAGACATTGAGAAGTTTCGCAGGCAGAGTTCTGTTTATTCAGTCATTTGATTCTTGATTTTTGCTTCACCCGCTTCTTGTCTTTTTTGTAGGTTTTTAGTAGGGGACCTCTCAGACTCTGAAGTGGACCCGCTTGAGCTGGTTAAGGATGTAGACCTTCAGACCACAGAAGAGGTGCATGGACCATTTAGCCACGGAACAGAGCTCATCCCCTGGTACGTGCTCTCTCTTCAACCAGATATCCACCAGTTCCTGCTCCAGGGAGCAACCGTTATCCACTACGACCCCGAGACCCACCTCACCGCCCGCTGCCTCCTCCGTCTACAGCCCGATAACTGCTTCCTTACCTGGTCCAAGCCCCACAGCAGCTGTGGCCCAGGTAGAGGAGTCAGAGGCTTCATGGGACATCCACCATCCCCAGACCACTTACCCCTGGGCCAGCCTGTGCACTGCGGACTGGCCGATGGACTCCTAGACCTTAACGTGGTAAAGGGCGTGTTTATGGGTCACCCTGGAGTGGATGTTAATTATGTGTGCCTGCAGCACAAACTGTGTAACATGAACCCTGGCGAAAATGGTGTCACGCTGCTATATGGATTTCACACCACAGACAACAGGCTCCTGCACTTTGTGGCCCCCAAGCACACGGCACAAATGCTGCACGAGGGCCTCCGGGAGCTGCTCAGTGCCATCCGGAAGATCAGGAAGTTTCCTGACCAGAGACTACAATGGCTGCGAAAGCAGTATGTTAGTTTGTACCAGGTACATTTACATTTACTTAAGTGCATTTATTCAATATATTTGAGAACACAGTACGAGTAGACCTGCAATACCAAGTTTCTGTTTAGGTATGGAAGATGTTTTGTTTCTATTGTGAGGAGTTTGCTAATGTTTTTAAAATGGCGAATTGCATATTTCATATTAAGCTCATTTATCCCGAATACATGGTAAAGATTGCAACAATTACTATTACAACCACCATGCTATAAAACAAGTTTTGCAGGTCTTGCCACTGGTCATGCTGGTCTGGTTTGATAGTTTTAGAAGGGTTTTGTGCACTTGTTAGCTGGTAGGTCAACTGGCTGATCAGCTAAACCAGCTGACCACTAGTTGGTCAAACCGGCTTAGTCTGCATTTAAATAAAGATTTTTTCACGCATGTTGTGTTCTCAATGTTGAATTATAAAAGTTCACATTGAAGAACTTTGGTGGTATTGAAGTTCTCATGCAACTAAACACATTCCAGTTTTGACTTTTGAATGCCCTGCACTGTTTCCCTTTAACATAACTCTGCTAACTTAAGGCCAGCTAAAGCACAGCTTTCTTTTTATTAGTTCCATTCATTGTTTTTGTCCATTTTTATTATCAGTGGGTTTTATATTGCTGTAAAACTCCCTGTTCTAGGAGGACTGTAGATTTGAGGGGCCCACACTGGCCCATGCTATCGAGCTGTTCGGTGGGAGACGCTGGAATATGGGTGCTAGCGGCCCTGGATCTGCCAGCAAGAGTGCGGAGAAGAGCTCAGCCCAGAAAAACAGCCCGCTGGGCATTAACTCCAACGTCAAGAAGAAGAAGAAAGCCTTAGTCAGGGTAAGGAGTGAAAAAACGCCAACACAGGCTGTCCTGGCTTGGCTATATGATTTGACTAATGCACTATTCTGTTCACAGGGGGACAGTGGTGATGGAACAGATGGTAGATTTGAGGGGCCCACACTGGCCCATGCTATCGAGCTGTTCGGTGGGAGACGCTGGAATATGGGTGCTAGCGGCCCTGGATCCGCCAGCAAGAGTGCGGAGAAGAGCTCAGCCCAGAAAAACAGCCCGCTGGGCATTAACTCCAACGTCAAGAAGAAGAAAGCCTTAGTCAGGGTAAGGAGTGAAAAAACGCCAACACAGGCTGTCTTGGCTTGGCTATATGATTTGACTAATGCACTATTCTGTTCACAGGGGGACAGTGGTGATGGAACAGATGATGAGATGATCTCACGCAAGACCAGGAGCTGTAAAGAGACTTTGGGGAGGAGAGAATCAGACCCTTTGGAAAGTGTTGAGCAGGAAAACGCTGGTGAGAGTTACTGAGCAATTTGTTGACAGCTACTCTGACTTTGGTTAGACATAATTGTTGAAGAATGTTGAGGATGGGATCCATTTCAGCTGTTTTACCAATACTTTTTTCATTTATACACTGAAGATACTAGTTTTGTGATGCAAATGTCTTAAGCGATCAGGGTCATAGTGACATGTTTGAATGTTTCCATAGAGGACTGCAGTACCTTTGGCCACCCTGGATCCCTTTCCTTATCCAACAGCAAAGGCCAGTCTCCTGGATCCTCCTTATCCTCCTCCTCATCTTCCTCTGGCTCCTTTAGCACAAGCACCTCCACCCCTACCCACCCTCATTCCTCCCCCAATCTCCCCGGCAACCCCAAAAGTCAACCAGGGTAAGGCCACTCCCTCTTTAGAAATACAAATTTAGTGCATTCCCAGAAAGCACACAGGCTTCTATTCAGTGTGTTTGATGGGTTTAGCATGTTTTGATCCTGTTCTTTTAAAGATATTTTCAGATTTTTGTATTCAAGAAGGATTCAACATAAAATATGCAAATAAATTAACATTTAAACCTTGTTTACAATGTAATTTACTTCCATAATCGGACTCATTTTTTTAGTAAAATAGGATAACGAATAAGAATTTTTTTAAACTTATTTTATTCCATGAAAGATGGTTCCAGGTGTATGAAATAGGATATTTCATGATTATCAAGTTGTTCCAAACCCATAAAGCTTTTTGTTTATATTTGTCACGAATTAAGATATCTCATCATTCCATCCAATGAAAGTCTGTGCAATCAGCATTTTCATGCACATAAAGGTATTATAAAAGTAATCCATGTGAATCATGCTGTTTAATCCAAGACTTATGAAAAGATACAATCACTGTATATGATGAACAGACTTTAATTCAGGTGTTTATTCAGTGCACATCAAATATGGTTAATGTTTAAGCTCAAACATGTGAGTTGCAAGAACAAATCTCAGTAGTTTCTTGCATAGTAAAAAACAAATTATATTACTTGTCTTAAAGCTTTAAAAAGCCATTTTGCTTTAGATATGCCTATGTTGGTGTTTTTAGGGCCTGGAGCAGTCGGAGCTGGCATGGTCGAGGGAAAGGCTGCTTCAGGGGCTTTCAGGATCTCATGATCTCTGACAGCATCATGAGCTTTGTTGAATTTGTGGAGCTCTTCAAGTCTTTTAGGTAGAACACTCCTTTCCTTCCAAAAAAATACTTGTGTTTTGAATTTGGATGACACTTGAAAATTTCCCATTGTGTGCCCAGCATTCGCAGTCGTAAGGATCTGAAGGAACTGTTCGACACTTATGCCGTGCCTTGTAGTCGCTCGGGTCCTGACTCTGTCCCACTCTACACCACACTGAGGATTGATGACAAACTCACAGGATTGCAGCCGGATCTTGGTGGGCATGTGTGAATAATAAGAATGATTTTTTTTTTTACCGATAAGAAGTAGGCTGGTTTTACAAAGCTGATCTCTTCACAGATCTCCTGACTCGCAACGGATCTGACCTAGGCCTTTTTATCCGTACACGTCAGCAAATGTCTGACAACCAGAAGCAGATTTCAGACGCCATCGCAGCTGCTAGCATCGTGACCAATTGCACTGGAGTGGAGAATTCATCGCTGGGTGTGCTGGGACTGGCCATCTCTCAGCTCAATGACTTCCTGGTCAACTGTCAGGGAGAACATCTGAGTTATGATGAGATCCTCAGCATCATACAGGTGTGTGGAAGAATTCTCTTAAAGCTGATCTCAGCCAGAAAGTTTTATAGAATGTATTGATCAGACCTATAAATGTTACTTTGAATATGACAGGTCATTCCTATTATGAAGCCGATTGATATGCTTGTGTTTTAATTTCCAAGACTCATCTTTGGATAATGAAACTGTTGTTTTCTGTAAAGCTGCTTTATAGCTGAATCAAATTTGTTTCATAAATGAAGAATTTTTACGACATTGACACTTATTGAATTGAACTGAATGAACACCGAACTGACTTGAGCAGAATAATACTATTATCTTTTTAGAGCCGCTTAGCAGATTTTGAATGTCTCATTTAAAGTTTGCACCACTGATTCTGCTATATTGCTGTTTATTTTTAACTTCCTGGATGTCATATAAGGACCTGCATTTTGTTATTTAAAAAAATATATATTATAGAAGACCACAGTAAAAACATATACGATTATTTTTCTGTCATTTTAAACTATATATCCACTAATCTTGGCACCATCAATCAATCGATCTTGTCTGTCTAACATTCAAACTCAACTTGTTTTAAATCTTGAAAAGACATTTTCAAGCCAACATTCAAACTTTGTCTTGACCGACATTCCTCCTCATGTTATTTATGTAAAGTCTTATTGTCGGAAAAGAAAATTGCTTCAAATTTCTGTCAAAGTGCTTGGCATGGTTTTAGAGCTCTCAACGGTGGGTCATCATTTACTGTTAACAACATGCACAATTGATTCTTCCTTTATTAAGAATGTGTCGTTGACTGACAGTTCGATATTAACGTCTCACCATCTCATAACTTGCTTTGAGACATCTAATGATATGCATGCCAATGTAATAATATTTAATTAGTTTTTTGTTTCTTTAGAAATTTGAGCCTTCTTCAAACATGCGTCAGATGGGGTGGATGTCCTTTGAAGGATTTGCCAGGTTTGGTTTTATTAAACGTTTCTGACAAAATAATGTGGATCAGCAATTTCGGAAACGCAATACTTTGGCAGATTTGGATAATCTGCTGTATTCATATAATCTCTGCTACATGACTGAAAGTTTCATCTACCTCTCGAAGGTTTCTTATGGACAAGGACAACTTTGCCTCAAAAAGCGAGGAGTCTCAAGTGAATCTGGATGAGCTCCAGTTTCCGCTCTCGTACTATTACATCGAGTCCTCTCATAACACATACCTCACGGGCCATCAGCTGAAGGGAGAGTCTTCAGTGGAGCTCTACAGCCAGGTACATCTTCAGCAGAGCTTCTCTGTTTATCCTGAACCTGATCCAGGGCAAGAAATATTTCACAATGCACTCCATAAATATACTTGACGATCACTGCTTCACATGCCATCCTGTAGAAGTCACCTGCAGGTGAATGTAGCTGTTCACGTTTGATTGATTGGTTCTGCCGCAGGTGTTGCTGCAGTGCTGTCGTAGCGTTGAGTTGGACTGCTGGGACGGGGACGACGGCATGCCTGTTATATACCATGGACACACTCTTACTACTAAGATTCCCTTCAAGGTCTGTTTAGAAATCCGTACATGAAGAGACTTCTGTTGATTTTATGTATGTTTTCCATTGACTGAAATGCGCTTGTGGTCTGTAGGATGTTGTCGAAGCCATTAATCGCTCAGCGTTTGTGAACTCAGAGATGCCCGTGATTCTGTCCATCGAGAACCACTGCTCTTTACTACAGCAACGCAAGATGGCTGAGATTTTTAAGGTACCTGCCTGACTTTTTTTTTGCTAAATCACAATTCATGAGATGTTCTCGACCTGCTTGTTTGGAAGTTTCTTGTGGAAAGTGAACATTGTTTATGTATTTTGCTCTTCAGACAGTGTTTGGTGAGAAGCTGGTGACCAAGTTCCTGTTTGAGAGGGATTTTGGGGATGAACCTTTGCTTCCATCTCCCCTGCAGCTCCGAGGGAAGATCCTACTGAAAAATAAAAAGCTGAAAGCTCACCAGGCTCCAGTGGACATTCTCAAACAAAAGGTAGATGAGAGAAACAAATACCTAGATGAATGGGAACAATGCAGAAATGATTTCAAGACTATTGATTGGTTTATATACACAGTTTATCGAATTGTAGCAGCCACACAATCAGGCAAATTCGGCTAACTAATTTTTTCTTTTTTGCCTAAATGTCTTGGCTAGGTCCTGTTGTAATCTGGGGATTTTTTCATAACTTTTTTGCATGCCTGTTATATACCATGGACACACTCTTACTACTAAGATTCCCTTCAAGGTCTGTTTAGAAATCCGTACATGAAGAGACTTCTGTTGATTTTATGTATGTTTTCCATTGACTGAAATGCGCTTGTGGTCTGTAGGATGTTGTCGAAGCCATTAATCGCTCAGCGTTTGTGAACTCAGAGATGCCCGTGATTCTGTCCATCGAGAACCACTGCTCTTTACTACAGCAACGCAAGATGGCTGAGATTTTTAAGGTACCTGCCTGACTTTTTTTTTGCTAAATCACAATTCATGAGATGTTCTCGACCTGCTTGTTTGGAAGTTTCTTGTGGAAAGTGAACATTGTTTATGTATTTTGCTCTTCAGACAGTGTTTGGTGAGAAGCTGGTGACCAAGTTCCTGTTTGAGAGGGATTTTGGGGATGAACCTTTGCTTCCATCTCCCCTGCAGCTCCGAGGGAAGATCCTACTGAAAAATAAAAAGCTGAAAGCTCACCAGGCTCCAGTGGACATTCTCAAACAAAAGGTAGATGAGAGAAACAAATACCTAGATGAATGGGAACAATGCAGAAATGATTTCAAGACTATTGATTGGTTTATATACACAGTTTATCGAATTGTAGCAGCCACACAATCAGGCAAATTCGGCTAACTAATTTTTTCTTTTTTGCCTAAATGTCTTGGCTAGGTCCTGTTGTAATCTGGGGATTTTTTCATAACTTTTTTTCTTCCTACACTTAAGAAAAGGCCTGTGCCTGAGACACTGATATATCTGCTACACAAAACAAATACACTATACATAGTTTTAAATTTAGAGATCATTATATCGCTAAATCAACCAGCCCTAAAATTGCTAAAATTGTTAAAACAAACAAAAAATTAAAGCATTATAGACATATACATTTGACTTGAGTCGACTGATCTGCACAGATTTGTGTGGAAAATCTGCAGAATGCATTTACACATTTTAAAATGTCCTTAACTGAGATGGAAGTACTACACTCATATTGGAAAGCACAATCAAATTAACCAGAATATTTAAGAAACAAACATGCAAGTGGGTAGGGAATTTGTGGAATTGTGTGAATGACAGACTTTCCAGTTCTGTGGAAATCTGCACAGCTTCAGTGTGGTCTTGACTAACTGTTCAACATTTTTAGTATCAACACATTTTATTGAGTCCATGAAACGTCCATTTAACAAATCAAGAATGAATAGTTGAAAAGTTTAGGAACTTTTTATTTACTTTTCTTTATTCAAAAAGGCACATCAGCTGGGGTCCTGTTGTAATCTGGGGATTTTTTCATAACTTTTTTTCTTCCTACACTTAAGAAAAGGCCTGTGCCTGAGACACTGATATATCTGCTACACAAAACAAATACACTATACATAGTTTTAAATTTAGAGATCATTATATCGCTAAATCAACCAGCCCTAAAATTGCTAAAATTGTTAAAACAAACTAAAAATTAAAGCATTATAGTCATATACATTTGACTTGAGTCGACTGATCTGCACAGATTTGTGTGGAAAATCTGCAGAATGCATTTACACATTTTAAAATGTCCTTAACTGAGATGGAAGTACTACACTCATATTGGAAAGCACAATCAAATTAACCAGAATATTTAAGAAACAAACATGCAAGTGGGTAGGGAATTTGTGGAATTGTGTGAATGACAGACTTTCCAGTTCTGTGGAAATCTGCACAGCTTCAGTGTGGTCTTGACTAACTGTTCAACATTTTTAGTATCAACACATTTTATTGAGTCCATGAAACGTCCATTTAACAAATCAAGAATGAATAGTTGAAAAGTTTAGGAACTTTTTATTTACTTTTCTTTATTCAAAAAGGCACATCAGCTGGCTCACATGCAGGCCCAGGCCAACAACTGCTCAGTCAGCGGAACATCCCTGGGAAACAATGATGAAGAAGAGGAGGAGGAAGACGAGTATGACTATGATTATGAGTCACTGTCTGACGGTAAACATAGTTTGCGTTACTCAAGCCAGCGTGTCCTTTATTTCAACTCGAATCGACAGCGATTATTGGAACATTGAGTGGAATTTTCTGATCTGTTCACTAACCCTCTCACGATCTTTTACTGTTCTCACGATGGCACCTTGTAGCATGTTGACCTTTTTCCACTCCTCCTCCTTTCTTTCATTCTCTTCCCTCTTGTTTTTTCTCCTTTTTCTCAGCTGATGTCCTCAATGCTTCCACAGCCTCTTATGGCCAGGAAGGTAAACGTATTGTGTGTGAGTGTATGTGGGTAGTTGACACATGCACATGGTTTAAACATTATTTTTTTTTTTTTAATTTTGGTTTAAAAACTATGCATTTGCATTAGGCTTTTTTTTCTCAAATTTGTAAGATAATTAAATATATGACCAGTCATTAGTGAAAATTGGGAGTTAGATAATACATGTTTACTGATGCACTGGTCAATTGTACGATTGTGGCCAAAATTTGTATTCTTTGCTGTCCAGACAAATTATGAAAATTTATGTAAAAAAATTACTAGTAGACGTAGATGTCATGTCAACTGCCCATGTTAAATGCGTGTCGTGATGTCGTGTGTCTGCTATATGCTGCTGGTGTGTTGACTCTGATGTGATTGCTTGGACTCAAAGCAGAGAAAATCAAAGCAGAATAAAGGTGCTTATGCCTGAGAGCCATCAGGTGTGTGCTGTCTGCTTCTGCCACAAATAAATCAGTGTTTTTTTGAGTACAGCGATGGATGGTATGGTTGGCATATAAACAGAACCACCCAAACTTGCTTCACCGTTTGCATCCATGTCCTTGGTGTTTTGAAAATGGCTCGACCTTGCTTGCGGCACTGGCTCATCGGTGGGGGAAAAACAAAGCCATCTGGTTTCTCAGGCCCTGCACTGCTCTCTGTTAAAAGAGACTTTGTTCTTTCCCATACGGCTTTCCACAGAGACTCAGCTATGAGTTTGTGTAGTCAGGGGAATGCCGGGCATTCACTCAACCTGCTTTCTTAAGCTGAGTATGCATTTGCCATGATTTTACCATCTGAGACAAATTTCAAAAATTGTACGAGATTTGTTTCGTTACAAGGTAAAATGGAAATCTTTGATTGCTTCGTGTGACATCAGCGGATGACCAATTAATAGCCTTTTTGCTAAATCTCCAGTGATGTCCTGACAGTGTCTGTGGGTTGCACACCTAGAATATGACCGCTCCTGTGATCACAGTCTAATAAAGGCCCACTAGATGTGGTTACTTTTTGAGGATGTCAGAACATTGCTCAAGATTGACAAAACTGACTGGGCTTTTTGCGTCAAAGTCTTAAAGTTACCATGAAATCATAATTGACCATTCTTATTTCAATTTTTAGGGGATATTGTAGCGTTTATAATTAGTTTATTCTATGCACATCCATTTTTTAATTCATGTGCCCATGCAATGTTTAATCAAAAGCATTAACATCCTCTACCCCTCCCGATGACATCTCTTCTCATCCAACATGAAGATGGAACAATAATTCCTAACCTGTCACTCACTTGATCAACCAAGCCAATCAATTTTCGATGGATAAAATCAAGTACAGCCCTACATCACCAGCATATACATCACAATACAGTGGAAAAACTTTGCCATTTACACAATTTCCATTTACTTCCAGAGTCTGAAGGGATAGTTCACCTGCAAGATCTGTCATCATTTACATTTACTGCATGTAGTTCCAATACTGTGACTGGCTTTTCTTCTGTTGAACATATTTTGATGAACGACTCAGTGTTTTTTCTTTGTCCATACAATGATACAAAGTCAATGGTCACCAATACTGTGTGGTTACCAACATTCATCAAAATATATTTTCTTGTGCTCTAAAAAAGAAAGAAGGTAGTATATGTTTGACATAAGGGTAAGTAAATGATGACCGATGTTTTGGATGAACTATCCCTTTAAGAATAAATACATAGTGTCAGACTACACTATTGATGTCACACAGTCTTTCTTGGCTTCTTCTCTCAAATATGACTGCTTCACCTTTATGTGCTTTGCGAAATGTTTTATTTTGTGTTAAGATGGATTTTTTTTTTGTAAGTCACATGATGTGTTTTGGCTGAAGAAATTTCTCTTTGGGTCTTTGTAGAGAAGTTTCTTTGTGTTTTTTGTTTTTGCAGACAATATTCTGGACGACAAACCCGAAGGCAAGTCATCCACTGAGAAACTTCAGTATGAGTCCAATGATGAGATGCCCAAGCGGTTTAAGAAAGCGGGAAGCAAAGGAAAGGTCTGTACAGAACTGTAACGATGAACATTTGAGTTCCTTTCTATCTGAATACATACTTGATCTGTGATGTTTGTACTTCTGCGCCCTTGCAGCTGTTTGACATGGAGCTAGGAGAGGAGTTCTACCTGCCCCAGAATGAGAAGGAGAGCAGACAGATCGCTCAAGAGCTCTCTGATCTGGTCATCTACTGTCAGGCTATCAAATTCCCAGGTTTACATCTTATTTCATTATTATACAAGCACAATGACAAAAGTTTGTAGTTCACTCTGCCTCTGGGACACACAATTAGTGACGTACTGAAATATTTGGCCGAAAATAAATGTTTGATTTTGGCTAAATTCAATTTAGTGCACACAATATGCTGTTTTCAGTTGATGCATGACTTTACAAAACTTCACTAAGCAGTATTTATAGCATGCTTCCCATCCAATTATCACAATAACCTACTCTACATGAATATAAGAAGGTACAGCCTGTTGAAAGAAACAACACAACTTGCTGAAATCCTGTCTTATTAATAACTGTAAAGATGTAAATAAAAGAGCTTGTAAATATACATAATATTGGATTTATCTGGAAAGCCATTCAATGCCCATAGCAAACTTTTATTACAGACGTCAATTGCAGTAGAATCATAATATATATTCATAAAGTTAATATTAAAATGGCATCATGTTCAATTTAAATGTTTTTATACAAGTCAGTTTTTGATTATTGAATATGATGGACTGATTAATGATTTAAAAAAATATATATATTTTCATTTTTGGAGTATATAATCATGGTATATAACATTTTGGAAAAATTTATTTCAGTGCATCACTACATACACGCTTTCTGTGTGGTTTTCTTCTAACATGATTTGTGCATGCAATTCCCAACTGACTGACAAAGACCCAATGTGTTATCTTGCGAAAGTACAGTAAGATGCAACCTCTTAATGGACGACTGCACTGCGTTGAGAAAGCTACTTTACAAATGTAGCCTCACAGGCTACAAGTATCAACACATTTCAACTACAGTTTAAATTTATGATAAGCAACACTTCATCTATTCCATGTTTGTGCTACAAGGCTAATGTAAACTGCTGTAGAATTTGCTGAATTTGATGATAAGAGTGAGCAAATTAGATTCAGGTGTTTGGCTCTACTGGAAACTGTAATAGTCCCAGAGGCGATCCTTGAACAAACAAACAGTATCAAAAGTTTCGCTATAAATTATTACATTATTTTTCTTAATCTGTTTTTTTAAATTAATAAAGCTTAAATTATAAAACTAATCTATATATTTTTTTATTTCTTAATGTTTTTATTTTTAAAATGAACAACCACATGCAAAACTCCAAAGCTTGCTGTTGTGTTCTTAGTGGTGATAAGGATATGACTTTCCCCTTCTATAAACATGCTCTGTTTCTGCTTTTGCCTGTTTGCCAAATTACAGATGTGACTCAGCCTCACATAAGATATTTAACTATCTCATACTGCTTAGTTTCACTTTTAAACAGTTTCTCTGAAATACATTTTTAGGTCCTTTCCACTTGTTGCAATATCAACTTAATATCAAATCAGCGTTCTTGTTTCTTCTGCAGCCAGTCTGGAGGGCATTCGAATGAACTGGGAGGAACAAACATCACTAACGCTGAGCCCGAGCACCTCTCTCAGCTCCATCATCCGCACACCCAAATGCTACCACATCTCCTCTGTCAATGAGAACGCTGCAAAGCGTCTGTGTCGCCGCTACTCCCAGAAACTCATCCAGCACACCAGCTGCCAGCTGCTCCGCACGTACCCTGCAGCCACACGCATCGACTCCGCCAACCCCAATCCTCTCATCTTCTGGCTGCACGGAATCCAGCTGGTCGCCCTCAACTATCAGACCGACGGTAAAGAGCGTGATCTCCTGCTCAGGACAGGAATTAAACCAGTGTTTATAGACTGATATATTGACCATGCTGATCAGTCAGGCCATTTTTATAGTGTGTTTTCCTGAAGTTGTCAGACTAGTGGAACAGAAAGCATCCAAAATACACTTTTAAGGGTTTATTTTATTGGACTTTATCTACATTAGTCAACATTTGAAGTCAATCAAAAAAGACAAGAACAGATATTGTTTTGGTTTTAGGACAACTTTGATGAGAGGTTTTGATCCACTACTGTATTTGCGTCATTTCCGCTGCATTTTTTAAAGGCTGTTTTCTCAAAATGATTGCACTGGGCCAGAAATCTCCACTTCAGCAGCACTTACGTACCTATCTATATTTTGAAGATTTTCACAGAGGGGTTTGTTCATATCATTTGACTGACTTATATCACATAGTGATTTCCCCCCCTGGGGCTGTTAACCATATTTCTAATTTATGGTGTAATAAACAGAGATACCTGAAATCTCCTTTATAAAAACCTTTGACTGATATGTCACCAAAATGAAACAAGAATTTTGCACCGGACTTTAAATTTGTGCATATTTAATTAGATAATGCCTCATTTTCACGTTTAAACAACATTTAAGAAAACGTGTTATACAATTTTTTTTGCAATTCTTAATTAATCAGCTGGGGAAGTATGGTGATATGTTACATTTTTACCTCATTCACCTGGAATGTCTTGCCTTAAGAGATCGTTCATTAAATGCACTGTTTTATTTAAGTTAAACCAATAAATGATACATCAATTATTAAATATAACCATTTGTTTTGTAGTATTTCAGGAAAACAGCATTTTATTTTAAACAATATTTTACATTTATTTCATATACCATTTCACTAGATGATACGCATGTATTTTTTTGTGGAGTGTATTTTTTATTTACTACCTTTAAATTGAAATCTGTAATCCCATGTAAATCAACTATATATACATATATTCAAATGTGATGATGAGCATTATTCTAACAGGATTATTTGTGACCCTGGACCACAAAACCAGTCTTAAAGGAACACTCCACTATTTTAGAAAATAGGCTCATTTTCCAACTCCCCTAGAGTTAAACAGTTGAGTTTTACCGTTTTCGAATCCATTCAGCTGATCTCCGGGTCTGGTGGTAGCACTTTTAGCTGTAGCTTAGCATAGATCATTGAATCTGATTAGACCGTTAGCATCTCGCTCAAAAATGACCAAAGAGTTTCTATATTTTTCCTATTTAAAACTTGACTCTTCTGTTGTTACATCGTGTACTAAGACCGACGGAAAATGAAAAGTTGCGATTTTCTCGGCCGATATGGCTAGGAACTATACTCTCATTCCGGCGTAATAATCAAGGAACTTTACTGCCGTAACATGGGTACAGCAGGCACAATGATATTACGCATCGCCTGAAAATAGGCTTATTGGAAGTTACCTAGCTGGGGACTATTTTCAGGTGCTGCGTAATATCACTGAACTTCATTTGATCAACTAAAAAGGCGATTTTCTCAACATTTAGATTTATTTGTACCCTCAGATTCCAGATTTTCAAATAGTTGTATCTCGGCCAAATATTGTCATATGCCTAACAAACCATGCATCAATGGAAAGCTTATTTATTCAGCTTTCAGGTGATGTATAAATCTCAATGTCAAAAAATTTACCCTTATGACTGGTTTTGTGGTCCAGGGTCACATTTCAAGAATTCAGTCAATTTTGTGAGAAACTAATTGGATGTGGCTGGTATTTTCTCCTCTAGACCTGCCCATGCAGCTGAACGCAGCTCTGTTCGAGGCTAATGGTCACTGTGGTTATGTGCTGAAGCCTCCGGTCCTGTGGGAGCGAAGCTGCCCTCTCTATCAGCAATTTTACCCTCTGGATCGAGACCTGGAGAACATGACCCCCACGCTTTACACTCTCACTGTAAGTATCCCACATTTGTTTAGCGTTATGACTACTCTAAGCTTATCTAACAGACATTAATTATTGTGTGCACAGATTTTATCAGGACAAAACGTGTGTCCAGGGAACTCAAGCGGCAGTCCCTGTGTGGAAGTGGAGGTGTTGGGCATGGCGGCAGACAGCTGCCATTTCCGCACCAAGCCCATTCACCGCAACACACTCAATCCCATGTGGAACGAGCACTTCCAGTTCCACGTGCACTTTGAGGATATGGCATTTCTGCGCATCGCTGTCGTGGAGAACAACAGCTCACAGGTCACTGCTCAGCGGATACTGCCCCTCAAAACCCTCAAACCAGGTAAAGAGCATTGTGTGATTGCTTCTGTACTGATTATTGATCTATCACTGCAGCATGCTTTATAGATAATCTTCAGAATCTACATTTTACATACTGTACACTAGCCTACCGTTCAAAAGTTGGAGGTCACCTATAGATTTTTAAAAATGTTTTAAATGATTAGTAATATGCATTGCTAAGAACTTCATTTGGACAACTTTAAAGGTGATTTTCTCAATATTTTGATTTTTTTTTTTGCACCCTCAGATTCCAGATATTCAAATAGTTATATCTCGGCCAAATATTGTCCTATCCTAACAAACCATACTTCAATGGAAAGCTTAAGATGATGATGAAGATGGTGTATAAATCTCAATTTCAAAAAAATTGACCCTTATGACTGGTTTTGTGGTCCAGGGTCACATATTATAAAATATAAAAAAAAATTGTTACTTTTTTACTGTCTGTTGTCTGTCAACAATTGTTGGATGATCATTTGTGCCTTCAGATTACTCCATTTGATCATTTACTGTATTGAATCCTTTTTTTTTTCTTTTTTTCCCCCTGTTTCTTAATTTAATTGATGAGTAAAACATTGTCTGATATTTTGTTTGGTTTCTGTGAATTATTCCAGGCTACAGACACCTGCAGCTGAGGAACCTGCACAACGATTCTCTGGAGATCTCTAGTCTGTTCATCTTCAGCCGCAGGATGGAGGAGAGCCCCACCGGAGGACCACTGCCTGCGTCTGTGGTGAGACCGCATTCATAAACCACACAGCTGTCTGGATCTCAGGCAGATATTTGTTACATGCAGTACTAGTGGAACTAGACAGCAGAAATCAAAGTGTTTACATTCATGATTCCTCTGTATGTGCCTTACAGTCACATAGGGGAGTGGCCAGCATGTTTGAGAAAACATTGTGCGAATATTTCTGATGTTTTTAAAACTCTGGAATGTGCTGCATTCCTGTCCCTCTGTCCCTGTCGTCCCAGTGCAGCATAGTTTCATTAAAAACAGGAAATCATAAAGGCATAGACAGCTACTGTATACAGAAGGGCCATGCCCATTCAAACTGGAAAAATACTGAGTGAAAACAGTTCCAGGGGAAAATTAATGTTTGGATCCATCTGTACATTGGAAAAATGGCTTTGAGACTATTTTCTTTCAGAAATTGCTGGTAAATGTCACAAATAATTCGAAAGAAACGGCAAGTAACAATTAAACTGTTGTCGTTTTGTTGTTCTCTCAGCTGTTCAGCACGGAGGAAAGACGCGCCGCCCAGCAGCACAAAGTGACAGTGCATGGAGTTCCAGGCCCCGAACCCTTCACCGTAATCTGCGTTAATGAATACACCACGACCAAGCAGCTCCTGGACTCTGTAAGTGTCAACGCAACAGAACCGAGACAGTTTAGACAGGCTAGCACACACCAGAACACTGTCAAGTGCGATGAACCCAAAACACAGGGTGCAACTACTGTAGATGAAGCAGTGGAAGCACTCTATGTGTTCGGCGTTCTCTTGGAAATCTTGAGAAGTTGTTTTTATGAGTTCTGAAATGATGTTTCGGATTAACCCTGGAAGTTCATCCGGTTGCCAAACAGTCCTCCTCGTGGAGAATGATTGTCATCCGTTCTCTCGTTAGGAACAAGCAGTGCTTCACATTTTCATCATTCCTCAGCACATAAACACGCGTCTCTTTCTTGCCAGTTGTTTCCGACTACCTCCTTCGACTACTTCCTGATGGAGGAGAAAATGCCTCTGTGCAAGGAGAAGAGCGAGTCGAAGAAAGCGCCTCAGCAGCGCCCCCTAACGAATGACGAGCGGCTCCTGAGAGTTACTCACAGCTGGCAGCCGGAGGAAGGATATGTGGGCAGAATGTACCTGAAAACCAAGGAAGAGGTTTGTGCTTGCTTTCATTTCATTCCATCTCTAAGGGTCAGTCCTGTTATGCAGTACCTTTTCGATTTTATAACTTTTGAAAGAGGAATAAAGAACCACTGAAAAGTTTTGGGTTGGTAAGATTGCAGAAGCCTCTTATGCTCACCAAGGCTGCATTTATTTTAATAATAGAAATGCAGTAAAAACAGTCATTTTGTGAATTCTTTTTACTATTTAAATGAACTATTTTAATATTTTAAAATGTAATTTATTCCTGTGATGCAATGCATCATTACTCCAGTCTTCAGTGTCACATGATCCTTCAGAAATCATTCTAATATGCTGATTTGCTGCTCACGACACATTTATTATTTTATGTTGAAAACAGTTTTTGCGTAAACGACTTGATTGTTAATAGGATATAAAGACTGACAAGATGGAAAGTAAACTAAAAACTGTTAACTGGTTACCAATTAAAAGTGTTCCCAAGAAAACATTTGTTGTTGTTGTTGAAAACGTGAAGAATCTGATGAGATATTCCAAGTTTTATATCAGAAGCCCGCAGCGACGTGACACAAACGGATTAAAACGGACCCAAAAATAACTCAGAATGATTTCCAATATCTTTTGGACAACATAACAGCAGTGACTCATACAGGCTTCATAAAAGATCCACACCCATTACTTTTGTTTATTCATCCACCATCTAATGCTTGATCTGTTGCTCCCCCTGCTGGCTGATAGCAGAACATCAGTGAGAAGAACACAGTGATGGAGGGGGTGGAGGAGGTGAGCAGCGGAGAGGACGACACGTTCCTCGTGCAGGTTCATGATGTTTCTCCTGAGCAGCCTCACACGGTCATCAAAGCCCCGCGTTACAGCACCGCCCAGGACATCATCCAGCAGGTCAGAAGATCACCGCAGCTTCACTCACAGATCTCATCCCTGTCATGTTAATATCAGAAAATGTAAGCCGCTGTGGTCTGTTGTAGACTCTGAGCAAAGCCAAGTACTCTCTGAGCATCCTGAGCAACCCTAACCCATGTGACTACGTCCTGATGGAGGAGGTCACTAAAGACGCAGCTGGAAAGAAATCCTCCTCGGCTAAACCGTGCCAGCGTGTGCTGCAGGACCACGAGTGTGTGTTCCAGGCTCAGAGCCGCTGGAAGGGAGCTGGGAAGTTCATCCTCAAGCTCAAGGAGCAGGTAAACACTTATTCATGTGAGATCTGAAAAGAATACATTACTTATGCATATTTATCCCCAAACTGAAGTAACACTATCATTCAAACATTTTTTTCCCCAAAATCTGTTATGCTCGCCAAGGCTGCATTTATTTGCTCGAATATACAGTGAACACAGTAATATTGAAATATTCATAGTGATAGTGAAATATTACTACAACTTAAAAGAACTGTTTTCTATGTGAAAAAAATGTCAAGTGAAATGTATTCCTGTGATCAAAGCTGAATTTTCAGCATCGTTACTCCAGTCTTCAGTGTCACTCGGAGCTTGACTGTGAACACGAACGGTTCAGCGGCTCACGAGTCGACACACAGTAAGGAAGAGAAGGCTGCATGTCCCAGTATGGTGCCTCTGCCTGAGGCCTCGGAGTGAAGGAGCGCTCTGCAGTGTGTGTGTGTGTGCAGTGCATGGAGCTCTCACGAGGTACTAGACACTAACACACAACATATTACATAGTCAGTCTGATTGCTTACTTGGACACATTCAACTGGTGTCCAAAAATGAAAATTTGATGAAAATGTACTCATCCATGCAATTGATTTTGTGAATGTAGCATTGCATCACTTGTTCACCAGTGGATCCTCTTCAGTGAATGGGTGCCGTCAGAATGAGAGTCCAAACAGCTGATAAAAACATCACAATAATCCACCCCACTCCAGTCCAGCAATTAACATCTTGTAAAGAGAAATCTGTGTGTTTGTAAGAAACAAATTCATCAGTAAGAAAAGCCCAAACAGTCCGAAACATTTCTAAAATATGTTGGTGGATCTTGATGTAAGGGGATGAATATTTTCACTGGACGTTATGGACTTGTATTTTGGCCAGTTTAAAGTTAAAACGATGAAGGATTTGTTTCTTACAAACATAGAGCTTTTGGTTTCACAGGATGTTAATTACTAGTGGATTATTGTGATGTTTTTATCAGCCGTTAGGACTCTCATTCTGACGGCACCCATTCACTGCAGAGGATCCACTGGTGAGCGAGTGATGGAATTCAATTTTTTCTATATTTAATTCTATATTCTAAACCTGTTCCCATGAAGAATTGGAACATTTTTGGGTGAACTGTTCCTATGTATGATTTAGTCGAGGTTAGATTTTGTATGGTATCGCAGATGCTGAGGTGACTGCTTGTTGATGTTTGCTGTTCTTTATCTGTCATTAACTAATGTTATTAATTAACAGTGTACCATGTCTTTACTATCAATGAAAAAAATGATTAATGGCATGTAATATTTAATAGACCTCAATCAGGGTCGACACCGTATACAATTTGCTGCAAATGAATATAAGCCTGTTAAACTTGCAGCTCATGAAAATTAGACAACCTTAGGAGCTTAAGTACAACATCTGAAAATACTGCATGTCTGTTCCTCACAGCCTCACTTTGATTCATGTCAACTGATACTGAAGCCTGGAGGAATGAAACCCCTCCAAACACATTCACTCTGTGTCAGAAATAAAATTCAGGCTCGTTGTGAGTGTTCCCATGGTGTGTCTCTTCTCAGGGTCTCTGTCGATGGGGCTGAAGGCCTGGATGGCCGAGGGACGCTTGGGTTCTCGGAGCGATCGGGCCCCTGCCCCGTCCCCCTGGACCCTCCCGCTGCTGTGGAACTGGAAGCTGCATAAGTGAGTCCAGACCCAGAGCAGCACCTCTAGTGTTCACTCCTCTCACGTGAGTGCGATACAGTGCAGCCTGACGGCCGCTGGAGCTCGTCCCGTGCAGAACACGATGGTCTGAGTGAACTGGGCTTGCTGATGGGTTGAGGACGCTTCAGTCACTTCAGCATGTTTCCGGATGTCAGATGAAGGCAGTTTCTCCTCACTTCTATACTTCTTTTCCTTTTTTAACAGTACTGTAAGTGAATGCATCTGTATGCATTTCATGTTTTATTTGTGGTTTTGCACATTACCTTGAAATCCAGCTATTTTGAAAGCTTTTTTAGTACTTTATTTACATCCCTTTTTTTGGATTTGCTGAAATGAAATCAAGCAGCATAATGCTCCCAGCACGTTAGTGTAACACTATCCTGTTTTGTTTTTTTAGAAGCAAAATGATTGACTTCCAAACTTTAGGATTACTTTTATGAATGTAAATATGGCGATCGAGTTCACAGCAAAGGTGCACAAGGTGTTTAGAAAGATGCAAGGCAGATTTGTTTGGCATGTTTTAGCAGCTAATTTAATTTGATGGCTTTCATTGCACACGTCCTGCACTGCATTTTAATGACCAACAGCAAAAAAAAAAGTAACTTTTCTGTAAACTGCCTCGAATCTATTTACAGTATTACAAAAACAAGCATTTGAAGAAACGTCACTTTTAAATGTTTTTTTTATGCGTTACTGATTTATTTCATTTTATTATAGCTCGTAATTTTTTTTATATATATATTTTTTTGTTTTAATTTCCCCGTTTGCAGCTGCAGTGCAAATATTTTTTTCTTGCATTTATGGAGAGCTCGAGATCTTAACTGGCACTGTAGTGCTCGTTTTGGAATATTTTAATTTAGAATCAATACATTGATATATGTCTCATATGACCTGTAATTATTGAAAGCCAGTTCCCTTTTTGTGTTACATAAAATTTTGGTATAATTATTTCTAAACTCACTGCATAGCAGTTGAATCCTTTCAGTGGTCCATTTTCTTTCTTGAAGTGTAATCTTTCATAATTTATTGAACGTTATAGCCCAGGTTGGCTGTACTTTTCCAGATGTGTACATATAAACGAGAGTACATAATTATGAAATCTGCATTAATTTATTCGTAAGGGCATGAATGTTCCTCCAACCTGTTCGTACTGTATTCATGTATAATGTTTGTAATTTAGATTTTTAGCACTGTCTTCTGAGATATTAAATATTTTGACACTTAAGTGAATGTAGGCACCATTGAAGTGTATTTTTTATGTGGTCCACTACAGCATTATGTCCTTTAATATCTTTTCAATGTAAATTTCCCATCGCTTTGTTTCGAACAAGCAAGTGTTTAGTGCGACACAATGCTGTTATTTGATAATCTAAGAACTTCTGACTGTTCTACTTGTGATGGTTTTCAGCACACTTAAAGCTCTATAGGAATGTATCATCAATATTGTGATGTCAATATTGGGTTATTTGTTTACTTGAAACCACTGAATCAACCGCATCAATAAATAGTGTTGAAAAAAAATCCATGTTTGGTGAAACGGCAGTGGCCATGATAAACTCAATAAAGACTCTGCTGGTATCTTGGGAGCATTTATTGTCTACAAAACCGCTCTTAAATGGATGTTTCCTGCTGTGTGTGTTGTGATGTGAAGTCTAGACTCGTCTGCTCGCTCTCGTTTTGAAGCGCAGCATCAATCAGCGTCTTCAGCTCCGAATCTAAAAACGCATCACCGATTGTGAAATGTTCCTGCAACACAAGCGGAATAAATATTTAGAAGATAAAACTACAGGACAGAACTATTTAAAGCATTGTTAGTTTGCTGGAAAGAAGACCTTTTTCTTTGAGGGAGGTCCTGCAACAGGAGGATTGAAGGTCATGTCTTTAACACTGTAGTCTTCAAACAGCTGCACTGGAGTCCTGAGAAATACAATGAAAAATCGTCATATCCATCTTAATCAAAATGAACCACTGAAAAAGAGGCGGTTGCTTCTGTACCTTCTGCTGAGCTCCATGCTGAGAGCACCTGACCCTTCACTAGGGGCACCTTTCATCAGATGAGCCGCAAACTTCCTCACCATAGGGTGATAGTGTCTCTGAAAGAACAGCACAGATTTCAGCCCGTGTTACTCAAGCATCAATGATAACGAAAAATAAAAATCAACACCTGCTCTGAGATGCAATAATGATGTTCAATTTAGTTCACACTGAAGGATTCATTCATGAATTGGACTGATCTGATCGCATTTATGCAAGAGTGAACAACTGACTGAGAAGTTCCTGTCTGACTCGAAACAATAACCAGGAAAATGTAGTACTTTTGTGCTTGAACTCAAGTAAAGAGGAGTATTTATTACTAACGATATTTCATTGCACAGGACTTCGTCTACCAATCATACACCATATTTACTGGAGTATATTTAGTTTTTTTTTTCTTTGTATGTACCATTTTCCACACAGCCTTATATTCAAATTTATTTAGGCTTGCCACTATAATTTATGTTTGTTTTATACTTGTATTATATTTTTTGCATACCTGTTCTGAATACCATTAAATTTGAAGAATTTGTTGAGGTATGAGAGAAAAAAGTATTTTACATGATTTCTGAATGTAATAAAATGTGACGCAATTTTCTCTCAACAACGCAATTTTGACTTAAAACTTAGTAAGGTGCAACTAAATTTTCCATTTAGTTATAATATGTTCTGTTTTAATGGGATTGTCAGTGATTGAGTGATAGATACCTTCAGTAAGTGAAGCTCCCACAGTGCCGTGTTCTGAGGGTTGCAGTACTCGGGCACATCCAGCTCTGGCAGATACACACCACTGCCTTGCATCTCATTATCCAGCAGGATGTCACACTTAGGGAAGGTCTACACAAAAACCACACACGAATAACTGGTACATTCAGCTCAGAAAGCACAAACATGAAGGAGGAGCAGCGGCACTGGCTCACATGCATCAGCGCTCTGTTGGCCGCCAGGATGCCCACACAGGAGTCAGGCAGCAGGTGCAGCCCGAGCGTGCTCAGTCTCTTCAGGAAGCCCTGCGCCCTCTGCAGAGTCACCTGCTTCCTGCGTTTGGTCAGCATGACGTCCAGACACTGCAGCACGATCGCCGTGTCCTCGTTCGTTCCTCCTGCAGCCCATCCAAGACAACAGTCATTTCCGTCCAAAAAAAAGTGTGTGGAAAAATTGGAATATTGCATAAAACATTTACAACTGCCGTCTGATGTGACAAAACCTTCACTTCCTGAGAAACTGACACGGAGAATCGGGCACAAAAAGTTGCTGCAATCGGAAATTTTATATTCTACATAATATTTACTTGAAACACAGCAACAAATGCAATCATGCAAAACAAGCCTGGGAAGTAATAGTATCAAATCATTTTAATGACATTTTTATGGAAACCTGGTTCTGACAGAATAATAAGATTTGACAAAATTGTGACTTTTCCTCTCACAATAATGCATTCTTCCAAATCGGAGTTTTTCATTTCACAATTCTGCCTTTTTGTTCTCTGAATTCTTTTGAGAGTTTAAATCTCAAAATTCAGTATTATTTTTCGTTTCCACCACGGAATAAAGACATAATAAAGGTAACTGTGAGATAAAAAGTTGCAAAGTAAATTTGCAACGTACGTTTTTTGGCAACAGATTATGCATACATTTTCACATAGAATTAAAAAACCTGCCTCATTTGAGCATATACATTTGTTATGTGCATATTGATATTTTCTTCACATCATGGTGTTTCAATCCAGTGTTCTTATGCAATATCCCAAAACTAGCGTAAAAATACATGGATGGAAACCGCTAATGACATTTGTGAATTTTATGTTCAATAATATAGGCCAGTGATTCTGCAGGTAAATTTAGGACCTTCATTATGTTCTTCCTCAGTAATTTTGTCTTATTTCCAGTGCAAATCTCTAAAGATCCTTAAATCAAGTTACATTTACTTGAGAAGCAAAATGACAGAAGTCTCGTTTTAAACAAATGTTTTGTTCAGTCTCTCAGGAAACAAGATATACCCCTGGTTTCACAGAAAAGGCTTAAGCCTAGTCCCAGACTGAAATGTAATTCTGTCAGGACCACTATCATCAAAATGATAGATACTTAGCATAAAGTTTGGTTTGTCGGTATGGTTCTGTTCTGGGCAAAACCCTCCCTGCCCATCCATGCAGCCTGTCATGAATGAGCAGAGAGAGCCGCAATAATAACCCCCCCAGGGTTAACAGAACAGAACAAGGCAGATATCATTAATGTACTTAATGATATTTAAGTGTAATACTTTATTCAAGATAAAGGAGTCTGATTAGCAAGGAATATCAGAAAGCCAAGTCCTGACTGTGGCGAAAGGAGGAGCTGGGGATGGAGGAGGGTAATTTGCTCCGGAGCAAGCTGAAAAGCTGCTAAATATGACTGAATAGAGCTTATATAGGAATGCCGCGATAGGTGTCGTATTCCTATAGGTAGATGTGATCAGCTGATGCAAGCTTGACTCACGTGACCTGCCAGAACTACCGCTAACGCTTAATTTCTGTTCCCCGCCCCCTTTTCCAGAATAGAACAGTGGCTTAAAGCTCCTACCTCATATACTCTGCTAAAAAATATCTGTTTGGTTTTGATTATCATGTCTATCACGCTGAAATCATGCGTTTTAAACCATTTTAGTTGAAACTTTTTTTTGAGGGTCTCGCAGTTGTGTATCTAATTCTTAAAAATAAATGTCCGGGACACCACGGTGTGTAAGTGACTGATGTTCTCACTCATATTAAATAACCCAGTGTCACTGCATGTGCAGAACAAAGAGACACCGGAGATCTCACCTGCGTGCAGCGTCAGCAGCGTTTTGTATAAGTGGTTGTAGAATTTCAAAGGGTCGATGTTGAGGACGTCACCTGTTGCAAACAGAGATGTATTTTAGCTCAGCGAGGACAAGATGTTTCCAGAAACCAGAGCTGTGGCGGCACTTACCTTGTCCTGAGAGGATGTGGAAGGAGGTGAGGATGCAGTGAAGGCTCTCGCGATACGTCAGATCCTGAGAGAAACAAAACGCTGAGATGTTAATGCGTGAAATGTGACGTGAAGCAGGCGGTCCTGGCAGAAACACTTACACCTGATGTGATGAGGCCGTACAGCACCGCCAACAAATCATCGAAGAACTCCAAGTTTATCAAATGAGCAAACCTGCAGGACACAGTTTGAACCGTGTTAATCAAGAACACAGAGGAATACTGACCAGAACGCTTTATTACAGTGTAATAACACTATAATAAAGCAGTTACACACATCATGTGGCTCTTACTTTGCAAGACCTTCTAAAACGGAGGGCAGTAAGATGGACTTCTGAGCTTTCTTCAGTATTCTGAAGTAGGTGAGAAACACAATGTTCAGCGTCTCTGTGTGCTGGAATCAAACGATGGGCGAAAGTGAATATACATTACATAAGGTCCTGAAATAGCACATTCATACACAAGCTCTCCATCGACTGTAGTAAGACTCACCAATTTAATTTTCTTGTCCTTGCTCTCTGAAGCCTCAGCTTCTAGAAGCTCTTTCTGTAGCTTCTCCTCTGCTTTCTTCCACTGTTGAGGACAAGAAGATTTGATCAAGGTCACAAAACAGAAAAAATTATGTGTATTTAGTATACCAGTTTTGCAAAGCTTTGCATTTACAGAAATGAATTAAAATGTAAAATTATATTCCGATAGAAAACAGTCATTTTAAATTGTAATATTTCACAATATTACTGTTTTTACTGTACCTTGGTGAGCAGAAGAGACTACTTATTGACCCCTAACTTTTGAAAGGTAGTGTACACAAAGCATGTGTCCAGTGAACACGGACTCATATCACTGCACAACTTTAAATCATGACATTTATGTGAAATAAGATTCAGCCCAGTTCAAACCTTCCGCTGCATCCTGGACAAATTTGTCCGCTTCTCCTTGAAGGACATGAACTTCTTTTTTGGCGCAGTATCTTCTGTATCTTTCTTCATTTCCACTTCTTTTATTCTCAGACAGTGAAGACAGTTCAGCACCTGTGCGTTCACAGCACAACACACCAGTAAAAAAATCAGCCATTCAAAACATCTGCATCAAGATGCTATAAATCATCACAACTTAACGCATGGCTAAAGTCACAGTTTAGCAATGATACTGTGACCCTTGCAGAGTTTGTTTGACGCGAGTCAATAAAATCAGAGAATTGATCAGAAGTGCAACTTCTCTGTACTATAGTAAACTTTACTTTTCTGTTTTATATATGTATATGTGTGTGTGTGTGTGTGTGTGTGACCCTGGAGCACAAAAGCAGTGTTAAGTCGCTGGGGTATATTTGTAGCAATAGCCAAAAATACATTGTATGGGTCAAAATTATACATTTCTCTTTTATGCCAAAAATCATTAGGATATTAAGTAAAGATCATGCTGCATGAAGATATTTTGTAAATTTCCAACCATAATTAAATTTAAACTTAATTTTTGATTAGTTATATGCATTGCTAAGAACTTTAAAGGTGATTTTTTTTCAATATTTAGATTTTTTTGCACCCTCAGATTCCAGATTTTCAAATAGTTGTATCTCGGCCAAATATTGTCCTATTCTAACAAACCATACATCAACTGAAAGCTTATTTATTCAGCTTTCAGATGATGTATAAATCTCAATTTTGAAAATGTATCCTTATGACTGGTTTTGTGGTCCAGGGTCACATACATACATACACACATACATAAATACATATTATTTGCGTTACACTTGAAAACTCTAGACCGGCGTTAATAAAGCTAACAAAGACTAAAACCATTAAAAAAAACATACCATTACTTGAAATAAACACTTAAAAAATAAATACAATTAAAATTAAAATAAAGTATATAAACCTTAATACAAAAACCTTAAACTTATTTGAGCTACTTTTCAAGCCAACATCTCATTTTCATTTGGTTTAACTGAAATTAAATAACAAAATTACTATAATTTTAACTAAAATTATTATGAAAACAGTAAAAATAACATGAAAAAAGTAATTAAAAACATTAACAATAAATGTAGGGTAACAAGAACTCTATAAAATATAATTTTAATATGTATTAACATAGATTTTATTATATTTAACTACATAATAAAAAACTATAAAAATACTACTACTACTAATAATGACACTAACCAAACAAATAATAAATAGAAAAAGTCCAAATCTGACCATGTTCTTTTTAAAAAGCAAACTGAACATTCCAATCAAATAATTCTCTGTAATGAATGTTTATGTCATGTACATTCTGCCTGTTTGTTCTGTACAGCATTGACAGATGAGACAAAACTTGTTGGAACTGTTTAACACGGTATGATGGTTGTACCTCAGGTTTGACCTTGTAGTTCCTGCCCTTGACCATGCCTGAGATGACCTTCACCACCGCTAATGAGGCCTGACCCAGTTTATCCTGCTTCAGCAGTTTCCTGACGGCTTCACAACACATCTCAGACACCTGAGCACAAAATGACAACATCTAAATGATGAGCAAATCTCCAAATGTGGAGTCTTTCCAGCAAATATCGCTAGCAGACGGACCTTTCTGTCGGGGTCGCTCAGCAGAGGCACCACCATGACTACGATGTTGTTGTGGAAATTGAAGTGTGGCAGAGCTACCAGGAGATCACAGATGCACCTGATGGCCACTTCAGCAAGACCTTTATAACTCTGAAGAGACACGGCCTGACTTCTCTTCTGCTTCTTCTGCTTCCAGTCTGAAACCGCATCAGATCAGATGGTCGTGATTAGAACGAATGGGCTGAAGGGAAGCTAAGAGCACAGAGCACTTGATGTACCTTTGACTGTCTGTTCCAGATCTTCCAAGAAAAACTTATACTGGCTGACGAGACCCTCCTCAAACTCCCTCAGCTGCAGCGTCTCTTTTTTCACCTGGAGAAGAACAGAAAATGCTTCAATGGGTCATTTATTTCTTGCATTTTAATATTGTTATTATCTTTTGGGTCCACGGATCCAAAGAGTTCACTTCTGATGAGCATTTTTCACTCTCACTGTTAAAAACAAACAGGTCAGTTTTTGCTGCTGTGCTCTTACGCTGCCTTCTCAGACTGAAATAATCATAACCTTTCCAAAATAAAACTTCAGTCCAAATCTAATACAAAAAAACAGCATATCATTTGGCAGATTCAACCATATTTTACTCCAAGAATCAGAGTCTACTCTGCTTCATTATCCAGGGTATCTGCAGTTTTTAAAATCATATTTAAGACGTGCACAAAGAAATTTAATACTGTATAACAAATCCAATCAATCTCAAACAAACAAACAAAGCTTGTCAGATACTTGCAAAACTGTAACTGCAAATGTAAAATTCATAATTTTACATATATATATATATATATATATTTATTGACTGATATTGGATTTTGCCCATACAATAATAATTTGTTTAAAGAAAGACAAAAAACTATTATAATTTCTATACAATATTATAATAGCGTTCAATAACAGCAGCCCAGGAAGAAGCTTCAAGGGTTTACCTTAACCTAAATGCTAAATACAGTTTAGTACGCACCCAAAAATATCAATAATAACCAGAAAAAAAGCATCTGAAGGACAATGAGGGACATTTATTTTGAAATGCCTATGCTTTAAAATTTCTAGCTGCTCACTCAGAGATTAAAAATATGCCTTCTTACAACCAAGTACAATATATTACAATATAAACACCATAAAGTAAAGAACGCAATTCATCAGCAGTAGTTCATAAATTTGCTCTGAATGTGCAATAGTGCTGCAGTGTGACTTTATTCAACTTAATAATTTCCTTTTTTTGCAATTCTTTTTTTCCTTCTTCAAATTTAAGACTTCCTAAAACCATAATTTGAGATGTTTTTTTTTATGTTTTATGACTTTTCGGACATGTGGGAGGGGAGCCCAAAATGTTGGCCAGAAATGTGATAATATATTCATCTGTCTGCCATCAGAAATCCAAGCAGTTCCTGGGTGTTCTTGCAGCTCAGTTTCAAGAAAAGCTGTTTAGGACTAAAGCTGAAGTTGCTCTAATAGCTTCAACACATTTTCATAGTGCACTGATCTCTTTTATGCACAGAGGTGAAGGGAAATCAAATTTAACAGTGGGGCACTGCACCTTTGTAGCTTTCTCCTCTTCCGTCAGCGGTCGGATTCGATACGACGGCACAATGTCCTTAAACACCTCCAGGAGGGACACCATGACTAGCTTTCTGACCGTGACGGCGATGCACGGGTCCGTCTCCATCAGCATGGCCCTCAACTCCTTCAGCTTCTTGATCTGAAACACACGAGGAACGTCATCATACATGTGACGACAATAATCCAGAAGATGATTGTGAAAGGCTGTCTTACATTGACATGTGGATCTGCGAGTACTGCAGACGACAGACTTGCGATGCGCAGTTTCTTCTCCGTCAGTCTCTCAGTGCGAAGCTCTAGTTGCTCCTGAGGAGTTAACAATGGAACGCTCTCGGGTTCCTCCTCTGATATTATTAAAACAAAATCAAATATATATATGTAATAATACGTGTAATAAAAAATGCATGTCATGTAACCAATAACCGACGTCACAGAACAATGAACATGCAAATGTGTAGCTAATTTATAAAAATATTAACTAATAGTTTGCGTCAAAAAGATTTGAGTTTGGAAATTTCTCCTAAAACATTACGTTGCAACAAAACTATCTTGGGGTGCTTTCACACTTGGTTCGCTTGCCTGGTCCGAACCCGAGTTGGATTGCTCCCCGCTCCCCCTGCCCCCGCTGGACTGCGTTCATATTTTACTTGGGTCCGAACCGCGGTTCGTTTGCGTCATCAAGCCAGCAGCTGTTTACCCCGTTGCTTAGTAACGATGGCGCAAATGCATAACATTGCTCTCTGCACTTTTATATATTTACGTTTTTGAACCGTTCGTTTTGTTTACAAAGCTTCGGTACATAACGGCACTTACGTCTGTGTTACGAATGTACTGCAAATGCTCAAAAGAACGCTGAAGGCAAACAGAAATGAGATATACAGCTCTCTGTTTGCAACACGTCAGTCACGCTCGTCAGGAAAGTGAGTGAAACACACACACAAACACACATCAATCAAATAATACGTTATTAATAGCGGTTCACTTCCGCAATTTGGTACTAGTGGTCGACCGATATATCGGCATTTTTTAAAATATCGGCATCGGCCGATAAGTTTTTCTGTTTGGCCGATGCGTTCTGACTTTTATTTTGATGGTGCTTACAGCGGCAGCGCCTGAGCACAGTGTTCACATTCTCCTTGTTCGCTGTCGTCGTTAACAGTTCTGTCTAAATACGGATAGAAGTCTGCCTAATAATCAGATAGAACGGTTAAACAAAGGATTTAAAATGTATACAAAAAGTCATATAACGATTGCTTTTATATTATTAGTAATAGAAAGGCAAACATTATAATACTTTCTTGTTTGCCGTCAGCATTTATATCATTTAAACAAATCTTTGAATGTCTAATAAACATCTAATTTCAAAAACCTTGCAAACTTATGCCGAGTTCACACTGCAGGATTTTCAAACTCGTCTGATCGTCGTTGTTTTCACACTGCACGACTATCTGGGGTAGCATTCAGTTGCTGCTGTGTTCACATTGCACGATGGATCGGCGACAGGAGGTTACACACTGCATGACTTTACAATAGGAAGAATCGCCGACAGCTCTGTCTGGTCCGCAAACTACGTTTCACAACAAAACACACGCGAGAAGTGATAAGGAAATAACGCGAGAACCCGCGTGCGTCAGACCGGAGTTCTCCAGCGAGACTGTAATTATTTAAAAACTAAATATATAACCCGCAAATTGTCAGTGAGCTGATTTCCGGCTATAAGGAGAAAAAGAAAAACTGATTATGCAGGAGGGAGATGCAGGGAACAGGGATTGGGTGTTCTGCAAAGAGAGTTGGAGGTAAATCATTTTGCAGTAACTGTTATGCTGATGTTGTGGCTGGTCAAGCAAATGTTTGTGCTTGTTTCTGTATGATATAATTGTTCATATATCTATTAAAATACTGATATTCTGGTCTATAACTCCGCCCCGAACTTCCCTCTGCCCTGTATCTTGGTCTCTCATTGGCTATAGGTCATCACCGATGTAGTTTTCAGTCAGAAATCATTGCACACAGCGTGATTGTGAATCGCGTGAACAAGCATCGATTTGCCTCTGATGTCGGGCATTTGTCTGCGATTTCGCAAAACCTGTCGGCGAGTGAAAAATCGGGCTAATATCGTGCAGTGTGAACTCGGCATTAGTCAGATCCAGTTGTGAGATCTTGTGAAGTGTGCATTTGTATCCTGCATGATCGCGTGTTCTCTGCGTGACGGTCGGTCCGTGCGAAATTAATGTGGACAGGAGATTTCAGCCTCACTGGAGATGCGCGATCGACAAACTTTAAACTCGTGATTTTAAATTATGCTGCGCTTTATGCATTTGCCCACTGTCATATTCATGTCATTTTCACTCTGTGCTGTATGTAAAATGAGTGTTACCGTGGCTTTATTTGAAAAAATATGATTAACACAAACTTCCCAGAATACTGAGTGCCCTGTTGGTTACAGTGTTTACTTCCTTTTTAATTATATTTTTATTAAATATTGATTTATTTGTGAAAAATACTTTGTCATCTAAAGTATAAGTATGTTTATTTAACATTTATTTTTTAATCAATTTTCAAATGATTTCAAATTTCTTAAATATTACTTAAAATAAATAACATTATATCGGCTTTATATCGGCCACCCTGCTTTCCAAGATATCAGCATCGGCTGTCAAAAAAACAATATCGGTCGACCACTATTTGGTACGATTGCGTTCACATCAACAGCGAACCGTACCGGAGTTCAAATGAACCGTACCCCAGACCACCCTTTTTAAGCAGACTCGGGTACGGTTCGCAGTTCGGAAGACAGCGTTCACATCATCCAAACGAACTGAACTCTGACGTCAATCGAACCCGGGTGCGCACCAAAAGTGTTAGTGTGAAAGCACCCTTAAACACACCCTTGAGATTAAAGCCATTTCAAGGTTGCATTTGAAAAAAATACATGGAAATCCACACCAACCTTTATTTAACTCATCCTGGTCGATCGGTTCCTCCTCTTCCTCTGCCTCCGGCACAACTAGAGGAAACAATCAGCCAGTTAATCCCAAATCCTCCCCAGCAGTCACTGAAAGTCATGTGATAACACACACCGGGTTTCTCCATGCTCTGAGGGATCAGGCCGCTCTTGTCTTTGATGGGCAGCAGATGAATGAGTTCTTTCTCTTCCTCCTGCTGCATCTTCCTGGGCATCTTCTCATACTTCTTCACCTGCTGCTCGGACTTGCGCTTTTTGGCATGTACTGGAGCGCTACAAAAGAAAAGAGGAGGAAATATGATCACACAACAGACAATATCAGCGGATGACTGTGTATAGAGTGATTAACAAGCGCCGAAGTGTGCTGCTGCCGCTGCTTACCAGGATGAGATGTCTCGAGTCAGGAAGGAAGCTTTCTTTGCCATGGCTCTGATCTGTTCGAGGTCATCCTCATCCATCATGTCTACAGGCAGAGACTCCAGGAACTCCTCCTCGTCCTCCTCTTCTTCCCCTTCTGTTATGATACATCAACATTACAAAACTATCCTAATACACAGCATGAGAGTTCATATGAAACGCTTTCTCTCACCTGGTCTCTTCTTATAGCGCTCCAGGGGTTTGAGGGTCTTATGGGAGACATCTGTAATGGCTTGCCGAAGTTTCCTATGTTCTTTGCGTTGTTTCTTAGCTGAGCTCTGTTGCTTAAACTGCCGATTCTTCTGTTTGTTTTCCAGCTTCAGATTGCTGGTTTTCAGTAATTTTCTGAAGCTAGGCTTCTTTTTCTTGTTCCTTTTGGAAGCCTTGTGTGAAAGATGCATAAAAGCACAGCTAAATAATGCATGCTAGTGTATGCTACAATTAGACATAACGTCTTTATATGACAGATGAAGCAAAACAGAATTCAGAGGCTGCTGGCTTGCATAATATCCAGTGTTGGGGAAAGTTACTTTTAAAAGTAATGGATTACAATATTGCGTTACTCCATAAAAAAGTAACTAATTACGTTACTTAGTTACTTTTTATGGAAAGTAGTGCGTTACGTTACTTTTGCGTTGCTTTTTAAATCTGGACAGGGCTTGCTTGTTTGTTTTTAAAATAAAAAAGTTCTATTTTTGGCAAATATAAAAGCCTTTTCACACCAAAAGTGAAATGAATAAGCCTCAGGCTGAAGGAAATGTAAATGTACGTCTGTACAGTAGAATGCAGAAGAAGAATTTCAACACACTTCAGCAATAAAAAAACACACAAATGTTTGTCTAGAGTAATTTGTGCTTATTAGTACGGTTGAACTGGATCATCGAAGGTCAGAAGCAAAGACATTGGTTAATAGAATGGGATTAAATACATAAAGCATATTTGTGTTGTTTAACATTTAATTATTGCAGGTTTGCGTCATATTCTGAGTTGCATTATTTTTATTCATTTTGAGGAATACTGAATCTGTGTGTGTTTTTTTGTGTGAGTGAGATGAATTAATGCATATGCATATTTATTTAGAGCTACAGTAACATCTGATTTCTCTCAACATGGGGACAGGAGAGCTGCCAATCAGTAAATTGGAAAAAAAAGTAACTTGCGTTACTTTACTAGTTACTTGAAAAAAAGTAATCTGATTACATAACTCGCGTTACTTGTAACGCGTCCCCCCCAACACTGAAAACTAGTACAGTATAATGAAACAATTGAAAAGTGTAGTTTGATACAATAGTGTAGGGATTACACTAGTACAGTATGATAAACTGTAAAAGTTAGACTAGTATTGACGAGCCAAAATTTTGACTAATACATAAAAACAAGGGTTGTTCAATCTCAAGTGAGACTCTTAAACACTCATTTAAATGTAACGTTATGTGAAGCAGCGAAACATGGCTAACAGAAGCTGGAGATATTCACCCGCGCTTTCGTTTGTTTACATATTAACTTACCGGGCCCATGTTGATCTGTGATTCGACTCAACTGTCGAAGACGCTTCAAATGTGTAAATCAGTTGAATCCAAAACCAAAAAAAGTGTAAGTATGCACTCTTCACACACGCACCACATGGACAGGAAGTAAACTAAGGGAGATGCTACTTGAATGGAGACAAACGTTACGTTGCCTTTGAGCGCCACCTTGTGATCCGGAGGAACGAACACACTGAGAAGACGTCCAACTCTTCGATCAAAATAACAATTATTATAAGCTGCTTCCAGTCATTTATTTTCATTATTTATTTATTTTTAAGCAGCTGAAAAATTGAATGCCTTAAAGCTCTCTGAATTACAAATTGCTGTTGGGTTGATTACTTCAAATAGTTAAAAATTACAACTATTATTAATATTTTTTTTTTTCTATAGGTATACTGTACATGTACTGTATGAAGAACAAAAGCAAGTCACAATTAATTAAAAAAAGATACAACAACTATAATAGTAGTTTTAGATTTATTTACACATTTGAATTTTGTGGTGTCCAACATGTCACCTATTTACAATCGATTTTCACTGAAGTATGAAAACTGTACAATAAAACCAGGAGTGTGTAGAAAACAAACCAAGAATTAATGACACAATTTACATTTTTCCATCGAGATACATCATTACCAAATCAAAAAATGTTTTCAGACCCAATATTTACACATATTGGGTTCAAATCCATGATAAACAATGCATTTGGTCAAATAATCGAACAGAAATCAAACCGAGAAAAATTACACATTTTATTATTACACCACACATTCTCATAACTGAACTGGCAAATGTCAGCTCATTTTAGAATTTGTACCTTAAGTACACAAATCTCGTAATGCATTCTTCACATACTGTCTTACTAGCATTAATAACATTTAGATTCAAACTTAGGCTAGAATGGCTGCAAAACGATTAATCGCATTCAAGTTTGTTTACACACTATATATGTGTGTACTGTGTATATTTATATAAATAAACACACATACATGTATATATTAAATCTAAAAATGTTAGATTTATATATAAAATATTTATATTTATATATAACATAAATTATATAAAAGTATAAATATATATATACATACACATAATTTTTTTAATATACGTATATAAATATATGTGTGTGTATTTCTATATACATAATAAATACACACAGTACACACACATATAGTATGTAAACATAAACTTTTATTTTGAATCCGATTAATCGCAATTAATCGTTTTGCAGCCCTAGGCTACATATTAGTGTTTTAAAAGAAGAAATTAAAGTAGCACAATAGGACTACGAAAAATGCAATAATTCTTCGGCAAGAAGCAGCAAAATGCTTTCAAATATCTCAACACACTATATGCATTATTCCTGAATTATCAACTGCATCTGACATATTCTATTGCACTTTATTAAGGTCTTGTTCTACAAAACAAAACCGCTTAAAAAAAAATCACATTTTTAAAAATCTCAGAACCTTACTATTCTATTATTAAAATCTCAAGTGCATTAAACAGGCTCTGAATGAACATGCTTCAGCATACAAAATGAGTTAATGAGTATGTCAGCACACGTCAAATGCACCAGTTCTCGCCATAAGGAGGAATATTAAGAGAAAGCCTGATGCTGGTATCCGGTACAGTACATGACTAAGCTGGTGGAATATTTTCTCATAAAAGGCTTATATTTTGAACTCATACAAATGTGTAACTTCAGTAATACTGGCACGGTTACAAAGAAATCAAGTTTCAAGCTTTTTCTTCATTTCATTTCTTTGAGCCCGTTTTAGACAATCCTCTCTTCTAATCGAGAGTTAAAGCCAACTGGAAATATAAAAATGGTGAGAGTTCAAGAGTTTTTCACTGTAGGACTGCTGCTTTTTTCCATTTCTTTATCCTTTAGGAGGGCATTAAACACCTGATGAAGAGAAAGAGACGAGATTAACAGAAATGTTAAAGGAATAGTTCCTCAATGGATCCTCTGCAGTGAATGGGTGCCGTCAGAAGGAGAGTCCAAACAGCTGATAAAAACATCACAATAATCCACAAGTAATCCATGCAATTCCAATCTTGTGAAGTGAAAACAGGGGATGGACTTTTTTAATTGGAGCAAGCGTTACTATGCATTATAGACTGGTATTTTGGCCAGAAGCAATGGTTTTAAGTTAAAACGCATTAATGATGCATTTGTTTCTTACAAGCATACAGCTTTTGGCTTCACGGGATGTTAACTGAAGGACTGGAGTCGTGTGGAATACTTGTGGATTATTGTGATGTTTTTATCAGCTGTTTGGACTCTCATTCTGACGGCACCCATTCACTGCAGAGGATCCACTGGTGAGAAAATGATGGAATGCCAAATTTCTTAAAATCTGTTCTCATCTACATCTTGGATGGCCTGAAGATGAACAGATTTACAACACATTTTCATTTTTTGGGTGAACACCACACAAATCACAATGTTCTGTAGAAGAATAAAGTTCCCTGTAGTGTGAGCTATGCTCAAACTAAAGGGTTAGTTTACCGATAGTATGAAAATTCTGTCCAAATTCATTTTACTAGACATCTAATATTAGAAGTTATGCAAAACAATCTTTGAAGAGAACAAAATGTATCAGGACGTGTATTTGCATTTAATTTCCTGCCTGCATTTCCCTCACAAACAAACAAACTCCACAGGTTGATCGCTGTAACAGCGCACACAGGAAATGACCTGTATCCACTTCCTGTTGCCGCTGATCATCTGAGTGTTGGCGATGCAGCTGAAAAGGCGTTCGGACAGCATGTCCTCTGGGAGTCTGGTCAGGAACTGAGCGATGTGGATGAAGTCCATCTGCAGGAGCACTTCCTCGTAGAGCCGCAGAATCCCAAGCCCCGTGCGGAACAGGAACTCCTCCCCGTCTCTGCAGAACACGTCCCACACCCGACACGCCACATCCAGCGGCAGGGACTTAGTGTAGAGGGTGAAGATCCTGTAAACACAGATTTGGGAATGAAAAAGACTTTGAATGGAACGCAGCTTCAGGATCTACACCTAAATGTCATGCGCTTACTCAGATTTACACGTCGCAATTAGTTTTCGGGCCTCATTTGATCATTTTTAAGATTTGTAAGAAGTGCTTTTCTTCATCAGAAGGTTCTTCATGTACTCACCAGTCTATGAGATACAGGTCAGGCGTGAGGTTGGAACTCTTGAAGTGATTAAAAAGTCTCGGGAGGTTTTCCTCGAAAAACACCTCAAATGCTGCAAAGTACTTCAGCATCTAACAAGAAAGAGACACAAAATTAAAACATCTTACAAATTCATGCAGAAGCAGTATGTGTCAAAATCCACTCAATCAACCCACCCAGAAATAAACTATGCTGGCATTTAAAAAGCAATTCTGCTGATTTGCAATAAAGGCCTAATATTACCTAATTTGATCAAAAACATCAATATTCAAAATATCAATAAAAACATGTACATGTACAAGAATTTTACGTGTGTCAATGTGTCTTCAATGCACGTAGCAAAATAGCAAAAGCAATCAAATGTCAAAATGACACAAAAAAATCTAAATGATATGATGACAAAAAGTATTCAAAAAGTGTCAATTAACTTAATTAACTGCAAAGAAGTGAAAAAATGGGAAATTAGGCATAAAATGTCTTCAGAATCATTCATACATGTGAAAATCATCTGAGAATTGAACAAACAGTTGTAACTCGGCTCAGAGGAAGATAGGAATTGTCTTTGTGGCATTCCAACACCGTGTTCGGAAAGAAAATGATGTGTAGAACCACTAAAGGGAATAAATACGAGATGGGAGGAAAATATATATTTCAATATTTTCCTCGCAGTTATATAACTGGGTAATTATACTACATATATATTTCATATATATGTAGACATCAGGAAGCCGCTATTATACCTGGCATTGAAACTGGCATCGTGCTTTTGAATGCACGATCGTCCACCCAGAAATAAACTATGCTGGCATTTAAAAAGCAATTCTGCTGATTTGCAATAAAGGCCTAATATTACCTAATTTGATCAAAAACATCAATATTCAAAATATCAATAAAAACTTTCCATCATGTACAGTTTTTTTTCACAAAATAAGAATTTTACGTGTGTCAATGTGTCTTCAATGCACGTAGCAAAATAGCAAAAGCAATCACATGTCAAAATGACACAAAAAAATCTAAATGATATGATGACAAAAAGTATTCAAAAAGTGTCAATTAACTTAATTAACTGCAAAGAAGTGAAAAAATGGGAAATTAGGCATAAAATGTCTTCAGAATCATTCATACATGTGAAAATCATCTGAGAATTGAACAAACAGTTGTAACTCGGCTCAGAGGAAGATAGGAATTGTCTTTGTGGCATCCCAACACTGTGTTCGGAAAGAAAATGACGTGTAGGCAGAACCACTAAAGGGAATAAATACGAGATGGGAGGAAAATATATATTTCAATATTTTCCTCGCAGTTATATAATTGGGTAATTATACTACATATATATTTCATATATATGTAGACATCAGGAAGCCGCTATTATACCTGGCATTGAAACTGGCATCGTGCTTTTGAATGCACGATCGCTTTTAGTTTCACTTTCACTTTCGAGATTCGCGATCGCACGTACTCTGTTTATACTATGGAGCGGCAGTACTTGCCACACATTTTACAAGATTATATGTTTGTCAGTATGTTTGTCAGTGGTACTGAGGATCTGCAAATTCTTCGCCATCGTCCTCAGTCATTTCTCCTTACTCTGTTTATGTGGTAAGTGAAATTTTATGTACTGTAATGTAACAGGCAACCATTACACCGTGTCTCAAAATAAGAATTTTACGTGTGTCAATGTGTCTTCAATGCACGTAGCAAAATAGCAAAAGCAATCACATGTCAAAATGACACAAAAAAATCTAAATGATATGATGACAAAAAGTATTCAAAAAGTGTCAATTAACTTAATTAACTGCAAAGAAGTGAAAAAATGGGAAATTAGGCATAAAATGTCTTCAGAATCATTCATACATGTGAAAATCATCTGAGAATTGAACAAACAGTTGTAACTCGGCTCAGAGGAAGATAGGAATTGTCTTTGTGGCATCCCAACACTGTGTTCGGAAAGAAAATGACGTGTAGGCAGAACCACTAAAGGGAATAAATACGAGATGGGAGGAAAATATATATTTCAATATTTTCCTCGCAGTTATATAATTGGGTAATTATACTACATATATATTTCATATATATGTAGACATCAGGAAGCCGCTATTATACCTGGCATCGTGCTTTTGAATGCACGATTGCTTTTAGTTTCACTTTCACTTTCGAGATCGCACGTACTCTGTTTATACTATGGAGCGGCAGTACTTGCCACACATTTTACAAGATTATGTTTGTCAGTGGTACTGAGGATCTGCAAATTCTTCGCCATCGTCCTCAGTCATCTCTCCTTACTCTGTTTATGTGGTAAGTGAAATTTCCTCAGTCATTTCTCCTTACTCTGTTTATGTGGTAAGTGAAATTTTATGTACTGTAATGTAACAGGCAACCATTACACCGTGTCTACACCGGACGCGACAGTTGTCGTGTCGCGCCGCATCAGCTAAAGTCTGTCTACACTGACTGGACGCAACAAAGCGACCATTGAAAATCATTTGAAATTTGTGTCAGCACGTCATAAATAGAACGCGGCAGCAGTTTACTGTCGGGGATTTGTCGTGTCGCGCCGCCTTCAGTGTAGACAGCATCACTGATTATAATGAGTTCTATAGACTGATCTATATATAATAAATCTCTATTATAGATCAGTGGTTCTATAGTATTTTGTCGTGCCGCGCCACTCGCGTCCAGTGTAGAAACGGTGTTTTCCCTTATAAGGATTTATGCTTTGGACACACCCCCTACCCCCCCGTCATCGTCCACTGCGATGTTTCACTGTAGACATCGTCCAATGCCAATTTTGTAGACATTGCCCAACCCTAATTTCAAATGTATCATATTTTATGAGAAAGTATGACATGCTAGAGCTAAACAGGCAATTGTTTTGGAATCAGAAAAAATGGTTATAAAAGCAGTAAGCAGCATTTTAGTAAGAAACGAGCATTGTGTTTCATTCGACAAATATGATGCAGGGGCCAGGGCAGTGTTATGTCTTGTCCCTCAGTTTAATATCTGTAAAGATGCGGTCGACAGAGCTTGACTTGTTTTGACAGTACCAGCTCATGGTCCACTCTGAAGAAAACCATCTGACAGGGTTTGTTGAGGAGATTGGCGAAGGCGATGAAAGCGTCAGCCTCCTCCAGGTTGAGAATCAACACAGCAGCTATGAAGGACATTCCCTGAACCTGCAGCCAAAACAGAGACATTTCTACTGGCTGTAATGAGGACAGACCCTTAAGGTACGGGATTAAACTAGAAGAATTCTAAACACAATTTTATTATGCCACAAATTTAGAAACAGCCATGCTTTATTTAACTCACATTTGCAGTTTTGCTTTTTTTACACTACCGATCAAAGGTTCGGGGTCAGTAAAAATTTAATGCTTTTATTCAGCAAGGATGCATTAAATTGATAAAAAGTGACAGTAAAGATATTCATAATGTTACAAAGGATTTCTGTTTCAAATGAATTCTGTTCATTTGAAGTGTCTATTAAATCAAAGATTCCTGAAAAAAATTAAAAGTATAATTGTTTCCACAAAAATATGATGCAGCACAACTGTTTTCAACATTGATAGCAATAAAATGTTTCCTAAGCAGCAAAGCAGTATATTAGAATGATTTCTGAAGGATCATGTGACACTAAAGACTGGAGTAATGATGCTAAAAATTCAGCTTTGGATCACAGCAATAAATTACATTTTAGAATACATTACAAAATATATTAGAATATATTATTATTGTGAGTTGTAATAATATTTACATTTTTTGTTTTTGATTAAATAAATGCAGCTTTGGTGAGCATAAGAAACTTTTTACAAAAATAATAATGAATAAAAATCTCACCAACCCCAACCCCAAACTTAAAAGATATGGATCACCTGATTAAATACAGCTATCCTATCCAGTTTTATGATAGTTCAAGCATTTTTGACATTGCTAACGCATGAAACTGCTCAAAGGAAATGTTTTTATATGCAAATGTGAAACAATAGAGGAACGCATTGTAAATATTCGCTCTCTGTTATATGGTTCATTGTTTGTTATTTGACCCTTGTAAATGATCACTCACATATCCCACGTCAGGTCTGTAGCAAGTGTAAGCGCCCAGAAGGCTGTGCAGGAGATCATGGTACGGCCCACCCTAACACAAGAGAGAGCAACAGTAGTCATTAATAATATTTACAGTTATACTGATACCATAACAGTGACAGGAAGAGTGCGAACAGTACCTTCTGGAAGATGAAGAGCGGTGGAAATGTGCGTGAGATGTCCAGTTTGATCAGATCCAGACTGGACTCGCGGTCGGCACTGTCTGCTGTAACAACCACAACATTACTCAATATTACTCGAAAATATCATGTCATATCTGAAGTATTTGCAGATTCTGTTCCATATCTATTGCTCCTATATCTACATCACAATCGTCCTGTGATACTCTACAGTGGATAAACAGGCGCGTCTGGTGTTTTTAGTCTCCAAGGATCTGCTCAAGTGTACTGCTGGGGGCTAACATCGGCCAAAACAGTCTGAGTGCTGTGATGAGGGCCAGATGTGAAAGGGAGGATGTGTTTGTGTTCAAACTTTATGAAAAAACAGCTTTATTAACAGATTCATTGAGACACATCAATGAATGAAGCGCTGAGGCTAATAAAACAGCATTTTATAGAGTACATGGCTGGAAGGCATAGTAGAAAACAAAAACAAGAATTAGCATGTGATTAGCAAGACTGGGCTTGCAGCACAGGAAGAAAATAACAACCATTTCAATAAAATGAGGCGACTGGGGAGAACTGAAAGTCAGACGCTCGCATACAGTACACACACACACACACACCAGCATTGCATTTCCTCACCAATGAACTTCTATGAGACCAAGACTAAAACTGAATGAAATTTGGTCAGTTTGCAATTACCGGCATTGTGGATTGATAAAAACCATTCAATTTCAGACTGATTCGCTAAGGAAACATTCAAATTGTGAATTAGCTCATCGGATTCATTGAACCTGACCAATAAACTTCAGTAAGACTGAGTGTTAAAACCCATTCAAATTTAGACTGATTCGATAATGAACCATTTTGACCGAATTGTGAATCAGCTCAACAGATTCATTGAACTGTTTACAATTAAAACCCATTCGAACCAATTCACATTTTTGCCCGTTTACAGTTACTAGAATGGCTAATGGATAATTTGGGGTGCTTCACACTAACATTTTTGGTGCGCACCCGGGTTCGATTGACGTCAGAGTTCAGTTCGTTTGGATGATGTGAACGCTGTCTTCCGAACTCGGGTGCGCACCCGCAAACCGTACCCGAGTCTGCTTAAAAAGGGTGGTCTGGGGTACGGTTCATTTGAACTCATGGTACGGTTCGCTGCTGATGTGAATGCAATCGTACCAAATCGCGGAAGTGAACCGCTACTAATGACGTATTATTTGATAAAAATATGTGTTTGTGTGTGTGTTTCACTCACTTTCCTGATGAGCGTGACTGATGCGCTGCACGCAGTGAGCTGTATGTTCCATTTCTGTTTGCCTTCAGCGCTATTTAGAGCATTTGTAGTACATTCGTAAGACAGACGTAAGTGCCGTTATGTACTGAAGCTTTGGAAACAAAACCAATGGTTCAAAAACATAAATATATAAAAATGAAGAGAGCAACTATGCATTTTGCTGCCTTCTCCTGTGCCGTCGTTACTAAGCAAGGTGGCTTGATGACGCAAACGAAGCGCGGTTCAGACCCAGATAAAATAATATGAACGCAGTACAGCGGGGGCAGGGGGAGGGGGGAGCAATCGAACTCGGGTTCGGACCAGGCAAACGAAAAAAAGTGTGAAAGCACCCTTAGACTGACTTGCGAATTGGTTAAACTAATTCATTAAACAAATTTCTGTCAGTTTGCATTTACTGGCGTATAAGCAGTGTATTGTTAAAAAAACATTCAAATCCAGGCTGATTCGCAAGTGAATCATTCAGAACGAACTATGAATCAGCTCAACTGATTCACTGAACCAATTCAAACTCAGACTGATTCACTGTGAATTTTTCCTACTGATTCACTGAATTGGAAACTGACAGAAATTGTACTGATTCACTGAATCAGTACAGATTTTGTCCATTCGCGATTACTGGATAAAAATAGTAGATTGTTAAAAACAATTCAAATTAAAGCTGATTCACTAATGAATTATTCAGACCGAATTTGAAGCTCGACTGATTCATTAAACCAATCAAGATTTTGTCAGTTTACAATAACTGGATAAACATAGCAGGTACTAGATTGGCTAAAGGATCATTCTGATTGAATTGAGAATTGGTTCAACTGATTCATTAAACCAATTTCTGTCAGTTTCCAATTACTTGAAAACCATTCGAATTCAGACTGATTCGCTAGTGAACCATTCTGACAAAATTGTGAATCGCCTCAACTGATTCACTGAACCAATTGAGATTTTGTCTTGTTGCGATTACTAGATAAGCATAGTGGATTGTTAAAACCCATTCAAACTCAGACTGATTCGCTTATGAAACATACAGACAGAATTGTGAATTGGCTTAACTGATTCACTGAACCAACTGAGATTTTGTCAAGTTGGGTAAGCATCGTTGACTGTTAAAACCCATATAAATTCAGGCCTATTCGCTAATGAATCATTCAGATCGAATTGTGAATTAGTTTGAGTGACTGGCATGTCTAAATGCTCCAGTGGGCTGTGCGAGAGATGAGGGCTGTGCGAGAGAGACGTACCATCTGACTCCATCTCACTGCCGGTCTCTCTGAAGCTCTTCCAGCGCTCTTTGGCCCGCGAGAGAAAGATCTCGTACAAATCTGAGAGGAACAGAAAGGAAAAAGGGTTACAATTCTCAGACGGTATATCACAGCTTTAATCATAAAACCTTAAAAAGGCAGATGAAATATCTGGTCTGTACATTCGATTTAGCTTAGACTTTCACTTCTGAAGATCCTAAATGCAGAAATCTTTTTCTTTTGGGAGTGTCAGAAATAAACTCATCCAAATTTCATTACAAAGAAGGTTTCAAAATCGCTTCAGGCCGACCTGCACAGTGCAGTCTTGCATTCATTCATGTGAATACTGCATGATGACACACTTCAGACAGAATGTTTGCCCAAAAGGTTTAGTTAATCCTGGGCTTAACCGCTTCACTGACACATGAAAGAGAGTAAAAGAGAAAAAAACCTGAGGTTATGTTCAGCTCATTCCCAATGGCCAGACTCCAGACTTTCCCCCTCACGTTGGGCGGAAGACCTTGCCACCACAGATCCCTCACACGCCGCGTGCCACGCCTGAAGACACACACGCAGCAGACAACAGCGAACAGAGCGTAATAAAATGTGTGTTTTACATTGGATTTATCTATATGCATAGGTATTAATATTTATTGGAACTTCCTACTGGGAACAAGCACTATGCTGCCTACGTAGGCAGCTCTAGTTTTAGCAAGAGAGATAATATGTTTATCATAATTATTACTGCAGGTAGTGATAATGAAGTGCGGCTGTCTCACATGCTCTCCCAGTTGGGAAGGATTTCGTTGTTCCAAACCACCATGGCATTAGCGATGCTTTCCTCCTGTTTAAATCTTTCCTTCATCTGCTTTTTCTTCTTCTGCGCCTCCTTCAGCTCTGTGAACAACAGTCATATTACCTCATATTAAAGTTTAGCAAGGCAGAGTGTGCTAAAAGCATTCCTGACTAAATGAAATCGCACATTTCCACATTTAATGACCACCTTGGTCTTGGCAAGGGAAAGATACTCTAGTGTGACAAGTGTGTTTTGTATGGGTGAACCTCTTGAAAACATGTCTGGGTCACATTCATGCAAATCAAAGCTATTTTTAATAAAAAAAAACAAATAAAGACTATTTTGCATTATTTTTATGACAATTATGCATATTTCCCCAAAATTATTGTTATCCATAATGCTTTTATTTTAATTTTTTTTAGGTTTTAATTCCTATTATTTTTAGTGGTGATTTTCAACTCTGATTTCTGTAAAATGTAAATTTTTACTGTATTTAGGTGAATATTTTTTTTATTTGAATCCTAGAACCACCATCATATTGTATAAAACATTTAATAATTCAAATGGGCTTATATGAATAGCAATATTTTCTTCTCATTACAGAATAATACTTTTTTTTATGTATTTATTTATTCATTGCATTAATACAATGAGATGGACTTCAAAATATTAAAAACATTTTTTTCAACTTTTCTATGAACTATAAATTACTCATGATGCTCCTCATTTGCATAAAACCATCTGATTTTGGGACAAAATATGACCCAGGTGTGTTCTTGACATGTTTAATGCGATTTAGCAATATTAAAGCCAAATTAACACAATAAAAACTTGGTACTCTGAAAATATATAAATAGGCATAGAATTTACTTTGAAACTATTTTCACTCAGAAATTAATTTAATAATACATTTTTACAAATAATTACAAAGAAATGGCAAGTAACATTGAATTATAATGCAGTTCAACAAGGCTATTTACACAGTGCTTTCTCTCATGTCACATAATATCTCGTTTTGGTGCAAAAATCTGTTTAATTACTTCAGCTATTCATACTCGTAATTCAGAATTTTTGTGATATTATATTTTGCACACAGAGGAAAAACTCATACATTTGGCTTGAAGGCCTTCTTCAGTGTGTAACATTAAATTAAATATGAAATTCTCAAGTGGAAAGACTGAAATAGTATTTTCTTGCCAACTGTTTTCCAATAATCTTTGTTTAATAAATGTACCTCTTTTCTTGGCCTCTGCCACCATTTCATCATACTCCTGACGGTGGCGCTGCGCTTCCTCCTCCGACTTAGCAGGGAGGTTCCTGAGGAAGGAAGCCAATGATTTCAGTTGTTACAACAACGGTCAATTAAATGTCTCAAATATACAGCCTAGAAACCTGTTAGCGCTGACATGTTTGAGAAACAACTGAGAAGTTTCTGGAAAAGGCCTGGGCGCTGGTTTATCTCATGGTTTGGCTGACACGCTCGCATTTCACTGCTCATTTATTCTTCATGAGGACTTGGGGACTGAAGAGACTTGTGTGGCGAAATACAAGCCAGTCTGTGCTAAGTCTTATTTATAGGCCTTTGTTTGGGAAAGATGAGCCTCTCGAGGTTTGCTAGGATATATGTATTGCAGGTCAATGTATCCTGAGCAACTTGCGCCACAAGTTAGGAGGGTGACAATACATCTACCTGTACTCTCCTGGAAGGACCTCAAAGACTCCCACAACTGAATCTTAAAGTTGAATCAATGTAGAAAACATATCTTCTTAAGTACTGACATAATATTTAGACTAGATTGTAAGAGAACTGTTGTTTCTTTTTTCCCAAGGTTTTTGCTTTTCATTATACAGTACAACACCAAATAAGTTTTCCTTCTTTGCAACACTTCCATTTAGCTTGCCCACTAGGGGACTAAATATATTACGCACTATGTATGTACAGTGTGTTATTGCAGTGGTTCCCAACCCTGGTCCTGGATGCACCCCAACACTGCACATTTTGCATGTCTCTTTTCTCTGACACATCAATTTCAGGTCTTGGAGTCTCTACTAATGAGCTGATGACCTGAATCAGGTGTGTTTGATTAAGGAGACATGCAAAATGTGCAGTGTTGGGGTGCCTCCAGGACCAGGGTTGGGAACTATTGTGTTATTGTATGTGTAATAACCAGTTTAATATGGAGAGGCACTGAAATGTAGACCTTCTTTATGTGTTTTTGACCTACACTGTACATGACGTGAGAACAGTCCGCTATTTAGGTTTGTACTTTAGCATGGAGTCACTAACTTTAACGTTAGCTAGTTTTAGCCAGAGATGACTTGCTGAAGCACAAGATGACATTAACGTTCTGCCTGAGCAGATGAAAATTGTAACTTAATGAAAGCATGACAATCAGAACGTTTTGGATTGGGGTTGAATGCTTAGGGACATTTCTCTCAGTCTTGTTTGGGTTTAGGAAATGGAATAAAGTCAATTCCATTGCCCATCCTCTCAGGGTACCAGGAATCAGTGTTACAAGTATTGTTTTACAATTTTTGTAGCATCAACACCATCAAACCATTGAGAGCTTAGTATCTTCCAATGTTTCTCTATGGCGCTAAAACCTAAAGATGTCCGAGTTCCAGTCTTCGTGCAACTGATACTCAACTGCCTCTGTCTCATCTGCATTCGAGGGGAGGGGCTTACCGATAGGTCAATTAACTCATTTAAACTGATTTGGGATGGACGATATGGACGGGTGAAATGACCGTCATTTATATGCATCATTAACCCTTGGCGGCGATACATATCACCAAACAGTAATTAGGCTTTTACTACATTGAACAGGTTTCATAATCCTCAGTCTCAACACAGAACAAATTAATGTCCAACTTTACACACATATATTCATGTAAAGCCATATATACTATATAGCAAATCTCAGCTTAAATTATCGCAAAATGTGTGCTCTATTATTGCACAGATCTATATGTAAAGTCGGATTTCTATGTACTGTATATCCACCTTTATTCACATACATGCAGTATACTCACGTAAAGTAATATATACTATACAGCAAATTTCACCTGCTTGATTGTTTATATCATTGCACTGTGCAATCTATATTGTCACCCAGCTCCAGTTGGCTAAAACCAATAAAAGACGTGAAGATATTAAAATATGGAGAGAAAAAAAAACACCACATGATTTTTTTTGTCTGCTATGTCAGAGCTCTGCACAAACAAAAATTTAATTATCAAAATATTAATAGGTATGTATTTCAAGACTTTTAAAATCAAGGTGAAAAAATATATTTAAAACAAAACAAAAAAACTGCAATATAAATATGCAATAAAGTGATATATTGTGAGCAAAAGATTTTATTGTCAAAAGATTATTACAAACTACAGCTGATTATGACAAGAAAAATCTCTTAAAATGAAAGCACTAGTTTATCTTGTGCTGCACCTGGTTAGTTAACAGTTTTATGATGAAGCTTTATGATAAAGCTGCTTTGAAACATGTATAATGTGAAAGGCACTATATACGAATAAACTTTATTTGACTTTATGCAGGTCAACTCCTAAACTACTACATTTATTTTCTTCAAAATCAAGAAGAAAGAAATTATAACTATATCAATGATTACATAAAATAATATTTTTAATATAAAATATTAAAACAATTTAAAAAATGTAAATACAGGTATCACTAAAAAACTTTCTTTTATTGTCAACAGATTATTCCAAACTGCAGCTAGTCAACTTAGAAGAAACAGCTTTTATTTTGTGCTGTACCTGGTCAGTGAACAGTTTTATGTGATACTCACGCGGGACGGTCCTCTAATATGAGCGCTGTGGTGGACAATGGTTCGAATTCCAGGTTCTTCCGTCGGCCCTGTGCGGGCAGGGAGGGACTCTGGCCCGATTTAGACACCTTGGTCTCGTACTCCTGTGAGAAGAGCAACAGGTCAGGTTCAGATGCGTGCGGACAGAATCACAGGCTTGTGAGAGTTGAACATGAGAATATGGAGGCAGACGTGTGAAGATGAAGAGCACGGGTCATTGCGTGTGATGTTTACAGCCACAGAGAGAAAGACTGGTCATGTGAAAGTTGGGTGCTTGTTCATGAGGAAGTGTGAGGACACCTGAACGTTTCAAAACCTTGTGCTGCTTTAAGGAATCGTGTAAAATCCACATCTAACCGCAGAGGTGTTTTCCTGGCTGGTGCGGTTCCTCTTCCTGTACCATCTACAGCACAAGCTCAAAACCACTTATCAATACTGACTGAACAGCAGCACAAAGACTCTTCCTCATCTGTCTGAGAAGCTTCTACAGATGTCAATGGACAATATGTGAATGGGGACCTTCTTCAAAGATATGTGGGTGAAGAAAGGAACCAGTCAGAGAGGAGAGAACAGAGGATCAACTGGTGTTTATCATGCAGTTTAACTGCTTGATGTCAGAAGAAGAACATTTAGGGTTCATACTAAAGAGCTGCATATTTACATATCCAGACTTAGGGATCAACAGTAAAAACATTTCTGCTGGTTCACTCAATTTGTTGATTTTTCCCCATTAAAAAAGGAATTATCCATTTTTATGTTTATTTTTAGCAACATATATGATTAAATTAATATTCAATATCTAATTTAATATTACCGATTTAAATGTATACAATTTATTTTATATAATAATAATAATAATAATAGTTCATAATTTATTTTACATAATAATAATATAATATTAAATATTTTAATTACATATTTTTACCTACCCAAAATAATTATGTTTTCATTAAATGTTACATTTTCCTTAATATTTCTTCTTTAGAAAAGAAAAATGTACAAATGATATTTTTCACGAAAATAAAAAATATTTTCATTAAAGGTCAATTTTTCTTTACTACCCCCCCCCCACCTTTTCCTTTAAAAAAAAGCACAATTACCTAATTTATCTAGCAAACTCTTCCTGATGCTATCATAACATCTTCTACAAAGTCTTGACAGTAAAAAAACTGCAGAAACTACAATGTCTTACAGTAGGTTAAAGGGACCACACTTTACATTTGTGGTTCAATAATATTAATTAGTGCATTAGGTATAATGAACTAACAATAAACAACATTTCTAGAACATTTATTAACGTATTTACATTTACAAACAATGTATTCAGTGAATGTCATAACTTTATATTCCATATATTGTTCATTGTTAATTCATGTTGTCCATAATACATTATTTAACAGAACTTAAAATGTTAAAAATATATTGGTAAACGTAGAAATTAATCATTTGTATTAATAAATGCTGTAAATACATTGTTCATTGTTAGTTCACGTTAGCTGTTGCAATAACTTTCACCCAAAATGTTAAAACTCCATTTAGCTTTCTTCTGTGAATGCAAAAAAAGATTTTTAAGGAACATTCACACAGCTATTTTTCATACAATAACCAATTTTTTAAAAGTACTGCAATATTTTCCTCATGATACTGTACTGATATTCTCACATTGAAAAAAAAAATCAATATTTGTTTTAAATGCGTCTCATTTCACAAAAAAAGCAAACCATTTATCGCCTAAAAAAGGTTCTAAAAAATTAAAGGATGGTCATTACGAGCAAGACGATATGTTGTGTCAAGATGTGGCCAGATTAAACTAGAAACAAACCGCAAAACGTCAACTTTGCAAAAGTGCAAATCAAATTTAACAGCTACATGAGAGATTTTCAGTAAATAACTACTTAAATTTCAGTCTGTTCCTTACACAAAACTATCAGACAACGACGCGGAATAGAGCACAAATGTCATACGGACTATGGATGAGGTTGATTGCCCTGGTCACTGTATGATTTAACTATGGAAAAGAGCAGCGTGAACAGTCTTCAAAATATCCTATTTTGCATTCTATGGGAAGACAAGTCATACAGGTTTAATATGACACAAGCGTGAGTAAATGACTTTATTTTTGGGTGAACTATCCTTTCAACGCAGCAAACGTTACAGCACTAGTCAAGCAAGCATGTCACGTGACGCAAGAGTGGCTGAAATGACTGATGGGAAGTGAAGGCGTACGGCTCCATGCACAGAACAGACATGAAGGAGAGCTCATTTAGAAAACAAACGTCATACCCCTGAACTTAAGAGATTGGGTGTAGATACAGATGTGAGATTGCCTGGGTTACCTTCCTGAAGAGAGAGCAAAATGTGAGAAATAAGCAAAAAACAATGGCCTGGCCTTCAAAACTGTGCTGACTGGACTGCTTCAGAGGAGTTTATGCTGACATGATTTAGTGGAGCGATTAGTCGTGACAGCAAGATCTGCTGTTTATTGAATGGCCTTTATTCTGACTGGATCCGGTTTTTCTTCTTATTTGTGTGTAGTTTAAATCAATAAACAGAAGGAACCAAGCAGTTTGGCTGTTAATAATCTAAGAGAACGTGTAGAGAGCCCTGTGTGTGTGACAGAAGATAAGCAGGGCAGAGATAGCGTGAGGCCGTGCATTAAATAAAAACACAACACACACATTGGACATGTGCTTTGTACACGTGCTGACCTCTAAATGACCTTCTTGGTCTTTCTCCTAAAAACACAGATGCACTAATATCCTGAATGGAAATGAAGCCAGCTGTAATCCACACACTGCAGCCGAGCTTGAACTGCTAGATCAGGCCTCAGCACACAGACTAACACACAGTCTCTTAGAGGTACTGTAGTGTAGTTTGCCTAAACAACAGAAGTGAAACTTGTAAAAAGATGTCTGCTGAGATGAACTGAATTGGTTCTGGTTAGACAGCACCAAAAGCAGAACTGCTTAAAACCGTTTCTTCCAGAGTCCAAAAACCTTTCACAGGCAGGTGAATTGAGAAGATTTGCCAGTCTATAGACCGATCTATTCTCACAGTTTTTATCAGCTCAGCTCTGTCTAGTGTTTTTTTATTTATTATTTAGTTCACCACTGTTTATGCTGTTTGCCTATTAAAGGGTTAGTTCACCCAAAAATGAAAATTCTGTCATTAATTACTCACCCTCGTGTTGTTCCAAACCCGTAAGACCTTCGTTCATCTTCGGAACGCAATTTAAGATATTTTTGATGAAATCTGAGGGCTCTCTGGCCCTCCCATAGACAGCAAGGTAACTACCATGTTCAAGGTCCAGAAAAGTACCAAGATGATCGACAAAGTAGCCCGTGTGACATCAGTGGTTCAACTGTAAAGTTACGAAGCTACGAGAATACTTTTTTGCACAAAGAAAACAAAAATAACGACTTTATTCCACATTTTCGTCTCTACTGCGTCACTTTGGACGCGCGTTCACGACAGTACCATGACGCGAGTGTGTGGCAGCGCTGACCCAGATCTGGCGTGATGACGTCATTATGCGGCATGATACTGACGTGACGAAAATGTGGAATAAAGTCGTTATTTTTGTTTTCGGACTACTTTGTTGATCATCTTGGTACTTTTCTGGACCTTGAACGTGGTAGTTACCTTGCTGTCTATGGGAGGGTCAGAGAGCCCTCAGATTTCATCAAAAATATCTTAAATTGTGTTCCATAGATGAACGAAGGTCTTACGGGTTTCGAACAACAGGAGGGTGAGTAATTAATGACAGAATTTTCATTTTTGGGTGAACTAACCCTTTAATGAATGATTGTTTGAAACTGTCACGTCTTCACATTTTTTTCTTTGTACAGCGACGTTGAGCTTGGGTAAGGCGCTTTATAAATAAAACATACTATTAGTAGTAGTAGTATATTTCTTATCCCTAAAACAGATCTTTTTTATTGTTTTGCTTAAAAAAATACATATGTATTATATAAAATACATTTCTCAATAACAATGGAATTATTTATTAGTTTCATTTAAATGAAATTCATTTAAGACATTTTCATTTAATTGCAAATAACATGCAATTACGTGTTCAAAAACTTAATTTCCATAATAGGTACTCATTTGCTAAAGTGTACTTCTGTTTCACAAGGTAGGACTGTCTTGATTTATTGATTTGACTGGATCATCAAAACTTATTGGTGTGAAAGCATATAAAATTTGATGGTTTTTTTCTGTAGAATAATGTGCACTGATGAATTGTTCACAATAAGACTAGAGGAAAATTATTAAAAGGGTGAGTTTTGATTTCATGTCCACTTAAAAGTAAAAAAAGCACACACACAAAAAAGAAAACAATAAACAGCTATTTAAAATATTGATAAAACAGTTCTATGAAGACTCTCAATCTGAATCAGGTGTGAACAGACCTGCTGAATGGTTTTGGAATTTTTGGGAGGACTCTCTCTCAGCGGAACCTTTCCAAACAGTTTCCATCCTGGTGCACTCTCGGCCTCCCTCTGCTTTCTGGAGAACAGACTTCTGCCAAGGACATCATCACAGAGCATCTGTCAAAACCTGAAAAAACTGCACTGACAATGCACAAAAATAACTGCAAGTGCAACAAGCCAGTTCTGTGTGCTGATTTTGGCTTAACAGCGTGAAGATAACCCTGATAGTGTAAGTCACTGACTTGAGAAGAATGCCACTACAGCCTGTGAACTGAGATAAAGCACAAGCTGATTCACAATGAATTATGAAAACCGTGAAGCATGAAATGTGAAGAAATGTTCCTCATTTGCAGGCGCTGCCAGAAACACAGCTGTTGAGACTGAGATCTGATCTGCGACTGAGCTGTAACGTGCATCGTAAAATATGAGGAAATTCATAGTTCAAGCTTCCAGTCAGCTCAGCAACTGGAAGGAGATAGAATCTTGGTCAAAAGATTCTTTTCAAGTGTTGTGTGTTGAAAAAAAAGTTATCATCACTATTTACTTAGCCCATGTCATTTTATTTTCTTTGCTCCATGAAAAACGAAATAAAACTATTTATACAAATATCTTAGCTGCAATTTTTCATGCAGTGAAAGTGGATGTTGATTTATGAGATTAAAAAAAGGCTAGTAATTCTATGGTACTTTTTAATATCCTTTTAAAGCTGAAATATAAATAACCATCCACTTTTGAAGAAGAACGGCTTATTAAAATCTCCTTTTGCATTTCATGGAAAAAGAAAAAAAAAAAGAGTTGAAATAACATGATAATTAGTATATCATGAAATTTTTATTTTGGGGTAAAATATGCCTTTAAATGAACAGTACAAACCATTTAAGAAATAATTGAATAAAAAAAACTATTCTACATAATATGGTTTAAAACTTTTTCACTACTTTTTTTATTATTAATATTTGAACAAGTTTTCTGAGATATGAGATAATGAATATGAAAAGTTGAGGTTGTAAAATAAAATAAATATTTGTAGAAAATACGTTTTACCACGCACACACATTTATATATGTGACCCTGCAGCACAAAAGCAGTGTTAAGTCGCTGGGGTATATTTGTAGCAATAGCCAAAAATACATTGTATGGGTCAAAATGACGAGAGGAAGATGACTCCACCATCAGCTTCACAGGTGAATTTACAGAATACCCCCAATGCTCGGAGATGACACTGCTCTTTTGGACCCCGCTGGGTGGATAACCTAAAATAAACCAATTTGAAAATATATGCAGTGAAATATTTAGCATGTTTCAAATCCTGCTAAGCAGTCTACCAAGAAGACTGCACTTTAGAGCATGTTTGAAACTAGGGCTGCACAATTAATCGAAATTAAACCGCAAAGGCGATGAAAAGCGATTAGGCAGAAGCTGCGATTGTCATGCGTATCTTTCAGTGAAGCACAGTTCTGTGATCAGTAGTAAATCTCCATCCGAAGGCCAAAGGGCGCTCTCGCGCGGAAAATCCAAATACGCCTCGCAGAAGAAACCCAGAAAATGCCTATCGCTGCAGCTGAAACAATGCTCGGAGATGACACTGCTCTTTTGGACCCCGCTGGGTGGATAACCTAAAATAAACCAATTTGAAAATATACGCAGTGAAATATTTAGCATGTTTCGAATCCTGCTAAGCAGTCTACCGAGAAGACTGCACTTTAGAGCATGTTTGAAACTAGGGCTGCACAATTAATCGAAATTAAAGCGCAAAGGCGATGAAAAGCAATTAGGCAGAAGCTGCGATTGTCATGCGTATCTTTCAGTGAAGCACAGTTCTGTGATCAGTAGTAAATCTCCATCCGAAGGCCAAAGGGCGCTCTCGCGCGGAAAATCCAAATACGCCTCGCAGAAGAAACCCAGAAAATGCCTATCGCTGCAGCTGAATAAACAGAAGATTCAACTGCTTTCATTGATTCAACGGGACTAAGAAACACACAACTACGGCAATATACGGTTTATCTGAGTTCTTATTATTATAATTTTCATCATAATAAAGTATATCTATAATGAAATGCTAATCGACATAGCCTTTATCACTGCTTAGAATACAATGAAATATTGTGTGCTTTAATTATTCTGTTTAAGAAGCCACATCATCTCACAGAAGAATTTATTTCAAACACTCGACTGACGTTATGAAGTGAGTTTGGAGTAAAAACATGTTATTAAATGCGGTATTTTCACGTGCTCTCAGATGGAGCAGCATTTACTACACAGAGCCGTAGTTCACTGAGAAGATACGCAAACAGCTGTCATTATCGCGAACGATTTCGTCGATTTCATAATCCTATTATTATATCGTCTGCGATTATGAAGGCGATTTTGCGTAGCTTGTCAAGACTACGGCTCTGTGTAGTAAATGCTGCTCCACCTGAAAGCAGGTGATGGAGATTTACTACTAATCACAGAACCGGCTTTACTGACAAAATGTGCATGACAATCGTGATTAATCGTGTTCGATTAATCGAGCAGCCCTATTGAAACATTTGATTCATTGTTTTGGGTCATCGTTTGCAATTTTTGATTCAGTATTTTAGGCATTAAAGATCACATAGCCTATGTTTTGGGACATCTGAGTCAGTACATTTCATTCAGCTTGGTTGAACATCATAATCACATTTAGAAAGTTTGCTTCAGTATTTTTGGGGCATGACAGAATATTCCATCCAAGCACTGATTCAGTATTTTTAAGCATCGTAAGAATTGTTCAGTTTCTGAACATCAGAATGTTACATTTTATTCAGTATTTTATCATATTTGCATTTGTAACATTCATTTTTTTTTTTGTATATTATATTTATTGTGGTATTTTTGCATTTTCATACCCATAAACAATGCAATCACAAGACAGGACAAAACAACTACACAAACAAGAAGGGAAAAAAAAAAAAGCATTTGTAACATTCATATTGGACATTTGATTCAGCATCTTAGATGAGCATCAGAATAATGTTTGGAATGTTTGATTCAGTAATTTGTTGAATTATTAATTCCATTTGGAATGTTAAATTGGAACATCCCATTTATTTTGATTTGAACATTTTAACAGAGTTTGAACATCATAATCACATTTACAAAGTTCAGTTCAGTATTTTGGAGCCTGATAGAACATTTGGGAGTCGGGACATAATCGCATCTGAAATGTTTGATTCGAAAATTCAATTCAGCTTAGCAGACCCTCAGAATTAAATTTTGAATGTTCAGTTCAGTACATTCTTACATCATAATTCCATTTGGAACATCCGATTCACTCGTTTTGAACAACATGCTATACTTTCAGAAAGTTTGATTCTGTATTTTAAAGCATGATAGAGCATTCAACAGGAACATGCGATTCAGTGCTTTTGGCCATTGTTGAACACGAACACTCAGTTTGAATTTTATGATCGTTTGGAATATTCTATTTAGTATTTTGAGCATCATAATCTTGTTCGTGACATTTGATTCGAACTTTGGATTCAGCAGCTTAGCAGAGCATCAGAATCAAGTTTGAAACATATGATCCAACATTTTGCTGCACATATTCCATTTGTGATGTTGAATTGCTACATCCCATTTAGATTTAATTGAATTTTTTTTTATTCGAACATTTAATTCAGCTTTATTGAACACGATTTATAATCACGTTTAGAATGCTCTATTTAGTAATTTAGTGCATGATAGAACATTACATCCACGCATTCGATTCAGTCGTTTAGGGGAACGTTGAACTCGAATGTTCCCTGAGGCTTTTATTTTTTGAACATCATAACTTTTAGCATATTCTATTTAGTATTTTTGGCTTCATACCCACGTTTAGAACATTTGATTCAAACATCTGATTCATAATCAGGTTTGTAGCGTTTATTCTTGTAGAGAATATCCTTATTATTCCATAAATAATATCTGTGTGGAGAAAAGTTGTGTTTGTATATTAGGGACCAGGTCAAGAGCATCTGCTTATGGAAATTAGAAAGTTTGTTAGGGATCTTTGAGACATTATAGAGTAAAAGAAAATTCAGGTCACCAACTTTAGAAAAGATATAATTAGAAGAGGCATTTAAAAAAAAAAAGGGGCAAATTATTGATAACTGGTTCGAAAACAACCTTCTTTTAGTTGGTCAGCTTTTTAACTCACAAGGCAGACTTTATAACTACTTTATATTTTACAGAAATATAATATTCCTGTATCTGCTGATGAATATGCGATTGTTTTCAATGCCATTGCCTCTGGTGTGTCTTTTCTGATGCAAGGTGCTACATTTTCATGGCCATGTACTTATACACTGACACAATGATCGGAAGTGTATGCTTTCTGTAGACCAACAAAAAAAACTGTAAAACTGTAAAATCAGAGCTCTCTTCCAGAGACGCAATTCCTTACGTTATACCTTATTGGAATAATATTGTAGAGAATGGGAGAAAGTATATGGTCCTTGCCTCATAAGTATCTATAACGTTTATATGAATTCACAAATGTTATCCGACTAAAGCCTTTCTTAAGAGATATAAGTCTGACATTGAAGTGAATTGCAGTTTTTGTCGATCTCCTGAGGAAGACTTTATTCATTTGTTTTGGCAATTACACAGAGAGATTTTCTGGTCACTTTATAAGTGACTTCTTTTGTTTTAAAGATGTTTTCTTTGGGCTGTTTGACTATTCAAAAGAAAATATGGGGAAAATGTTGTATTATTAACTTTATGTTTCCTGTTAGCTAAGTTTCATATTCTTAAACAAAAGTTTACTGGCTCTAAACCTTTCTTTTCTTTATTCAGAATCGACCGTGACAATATTAGGAAACTATCCAAAGTTCTATTAATCCAAAAGCAATGAAAACGGTGTCTTTTTAATATGTCATTTTATTATGCTTTTGTTGTTGTTTTTGTTACCCTGGCAATATGTCTGTTTCTGTGTATATTCTTGCATTGTGATTTGACATGTTTTCTGTGTTTACAATTGTAATTGTTATTTTTCTGTAATAATAATAAAACACGTTTGTAGCGTTTGAATCGAACATTCGACTCAGCTTCGATAAGATGAGCATCATAATCAAGTTCAGAACGCTTGATTCAGCATTTTGTGGCATGACAGCCTGATAACATTTGAATTCAGAACGTTCTGAAAGCGTGTAAGAAGCCCATAGATGCTGTCTCAGTAGACGGCTGAATGC